AAAAAAAAAACTCATGAATATATGTCTTTCACTAATCACCAGAGTTTTTTTTTATTATCGACTTCCGATGCCTGAATTTCTGTTCAGTCGGTTCCACTTTTCATCCATAAAATCGTATGATCAACAGATTTCTTCTTTGTATCACACATACCTTCTGTTTCTCTGGTCCTTTAACTTAGTTCTTGACCACTTTAGAAATCGTGTCTTCAGCTTATGTAGACGTGAGCACGAAATTCTGACACCATGTTAATGAAATAAGTCAAACACGTGGATATAACTGAACCGGAAGTGCCCTGGGAGCGTTTATTATATAACAAGTATCAATAAGAGGGAGCATCCCTTAACAGATTTCACGGAGATGCATTAACAAAACTGAAAAAGGCACTTTCCAGTTTGGGGACATGCATGGTTGAAATACTATCACTTTGCCAACATGTATCAACAGGGTGGCACATATGTTCATGATATCATTTGACTAACTTGAAAATCCCGTTGAAAACCTCTCCGATTGAGTAAAGGGGGATCTAGTTGGTGGACAACACGCTTTTAAGATGGAACTTTGCGAATAGTTACCAAAGACGTCATGAATAGGCTTGCCATTTTTGCAAAGCTTGATCGCAAACTATCATCTGCTAACGCCAGCAAAGTTATTGACTTTTATCTGCGTGAAACCGTGTACTTGGAAGCAAGTAAATTAATTAATAAAGAAGTTGTAATGTGTGATTCTTTCATCTAGATTTGTAATGTACAGTCAGTCTGATACATTAGGCCTTCGCGTCTCTCTCGCTTGAAAGGAAAAAAAACATCTATATGAATAAATAAATATGTTTGAAAGTCAGTTGGGAGCTTCTTTGTTTGTGATGTATAATGGTATTGTTTAACCATAAGTCCGCTACACTAAAATTTGACAGGAATTAATGATGGTATTAGCAGTGGGGATGTCTTGGTGTTATTCAAAGTATTTTATTTCAAAATTAGTTAAAGGGATAATAACTCTTCTTATGAGGTCTATATTTCACAATAAAAACATTGTGAATAACTCACAGAAATATAATATATTCTATTTTACGACAAAAACAGCAGTTTTAGCTATTATTCTGATATCTGAGCTTGTCTTCAGACCACGTGACCTCCATTGATGGCTATACTCTGTTATAATTTCTTAAGAGATTTTAACAAAAAAAAAAAAAAACTTTTTAGAAAAAAAAAAACAGGGACTAACTTTGAATGTAAAAATGGATTCATTAACCATTGGTAAGTATGGGAAAATTGTTGTTTACTCCAGGAAAATTAATTTTTTGGCCGAAATGAAGAGTTATTATCCCTTTAACCACGCACAGCTGTTCCTATCATAATTTAATGGAATTTTTCGTTTAAAACGCATATAAGTGTCGGATGTTTCTGCCTGAGCAACAGAACAATGCTTGCCCTCCTCAACAGGTAACAGTACTGGGATACCTCTGTTTTATTAAATCCCATTTCTGAATGGATGTCATTGTCTGTACACGATTATGGTAACGTAACTATTCAAAATATTTTCTGAAAATGGCATTTGGTGTACGTTTTTGAAACGGCTTTTGCGTTTTAGCTCCATTTCGGCGTCAGCTACACCGATTAAGATTTCCTCCTAAAACACAATGGGTAGGTGTAGGCTTTCGAGATTCACTCGCAGTCACCTATAATTCCTATCTACCCTAGCCTGCCATACCCTTTCGTTGCCCGTGGTATGTTCAGTTCTACGCATGGTTCCTGCCATGTAACAATGATCCCCATATTCAAAAGCGGGATAAGTCAGCTGAATGTCATTTTCACTATTTTCACCCGTGTACACCACACAGCGCAAACGGAGAGTTTCAAATATATGACCAACAGACACATTTCCGTAGAATTTTTGTTTTCTAAATAACCCCGTTCTTACAGTGAGTATGCAGAAAACTGTGCCGTCTCGTCGAGGTTTAAATTTTAGTGACATTGTACTCGTGTTCCACCAAAGAGCCACTCGATCTCGGAAGCGTTTCAGCTGTGTTCTTGGTACCTGGAAATTGGGGTACTGGACGTAGAGCGGCGTAAGATGAAGAACGATGCTGCGATCTAATGGTAACGGTAAGCCAAATCCTTTCACTGGCGGTAGAGAATTTACTGCACTCAGACTTACTTCTGAAGCAAACGTCACATTCTTTGTTCCCCTTATTTTATGGATGTAGTTATTATCTTCTGATGATAGGCCTGGATTGCTCGATAGCAAGTTTTCCGTTTCCAGAATCACTGTGTTTTCGCCGCAAAATCTTACGTTCTTTTTCGCCTGCGCGTTGTGCAGAAGAGGGTTTCTGTTCTCCATCTGACGGGAATAAATAGCGGCTAAAGCAACCCAAAAAGAACACATCTTTTCAACTGATACATTGCGTCTGGTGTAAAATGCTTCACGTTGCGTTGCACTATTCTCTTTCGTCACAACCACGTTTTCTTATTGTTTGGTGACGTTACGTTATATTCGTTTTCATTTTCGCCACAAATAAGTTATTATAATGACGTACCTACGGCCCCTAAGCCCTTTTCAGGGATTTTGATCTTCAGAGCTGCATCATTATAATAACTTATTTATTTCTTAAAGATCTATACGGTGATTGATATGAATATGCATTTTCGCCATCAAATGATACATTACTGATTTAGAGGACATACGAGTGGCATCTTAGATCTATACAGTTCAAGCCAGCTTAATATTATTTTCAAGCAAGTGGATGCCAAAGGTTGTGACTCTGCAAAAGCCAAAATTTATAAAACTTTCAGATATACCGTCGTGCTTGTTTTTCATTTACATGCTATGTTCTAAATTGAGAAGGGAGCTATTCGAAAGAAGATCGCTCCATTGCTCCCTTCTCAACTACAACACTATCCTCACAACGACCTCCAAGTGCTTGGAATAAACGCAATCTAGTCCATTGAAAACGGGTGAAAGTGCCTAAGACAAGAGGCAAGTTTCAGTTATGCCAATTTGAAGTAAACAGTAATTTTCCTAACTGGTTGAAATTTCTGCCCAGGCTGCTAACAGTTTCCTTGTCGGATGGGCAAACAGATCAGCAACTTGGTATTTACAGGAAAAAGAAAAGTGGTACCAGTATGTATTATTTGAAAAAAAGCCAAATTCCCTGAAGAATCTTGCATGAGGTTTTTAGAAAACAAAGAAGCAGTGTAAAAACAGTGTAAAATTCCTACAGTAAAAAATTCCATAAAAATTGACACCACAATATTTTAAAGCAGAGCAACAATATACTTGACATTGTTAATGATTCAGCCATGTAAGTAAATAATTCTAATTGTTATCAAACACCATATACAGAAGGCGTCAATTGTACAATTTGATTTTAAAAATATTTCTGAGATAGTTACAGAATATATATATATAAAAAAATGTCCAAATATCTAAGTTGTATATAGAAACCTTACACAATGTGTAAATGAATAAATAGATTTATCTATATCCACTTCCAGTATCTTTTTAAAATAAATCAATAAAAATGATGTAACAATTAAGTACAAAATGTTTTTTACTGGCATAAAAACAAAAATTGTCTTTAAAAAGGAAACATCTCTGAGATAAAACATATCTTCTACCTAAAATACAGTCTCCTCCCAAATTAGCATTTGAAATCCAAACCAAATTAAATCTTTTCTTTCTAAAAGCAAAGTAACTCGAGTCGGAGAGAGAGTGGATTTGTGACCAGTAAGGAGAATGAGGGAACCCTTAAGGCCCAGCCAAGTAATCCAAATATGATGACAAAGTTAGGCAGTCCTGTTTAAGAAAAACAATTTCTCATATGTATATGAGTAATGAAAAGCTCCCAAGTGAGATAAGAACACTTAAATAAATTAATTGTATTAGCTATCCATACCTATATATATATATATAAACACTATTACTCATTGCTAAAATGTAAAGGACATTCAAAATGGATAGACCAAAAAGTGATTTATACATGTATGTAACTTATTTTCATTTGAACCTTGGTTTTATGATAGATTAGCATATCACACAATATCTAAAACAATGCTTCTTAATAATTAAAGCAGCTCGACATGGCAACCATACACAACAGCATATATACATTTGCAAATCATCATTAAAATAACAATAGAATAAAAGGTATCAAAAGCACTGGTAATAAAATATAGAAAATATAGTAATATAATGATTTCTCATTGCTTCACGAGTAAGATTTAAATCTGTCAGCGTCGAATGAAAATCTCTTGCAATGCAGGTCCAGAGGTGTTTCTGTTAATCATCCGCAGGCCCAGTTCATCCATATCTGCAATGCTGGCCTCCTGCCTGCGATGACTGGTTAACTTCCTCTTCCACTGTGTGGCCAGTACAACTGCTTGACTCTCATCCACTGCATCTGGTGGGGGCTGACGTAATCCCTAAAGATAAATAATATTCCTATTGTTTTACATTTCATGAAATATACTTATGATAATTACACCCACAAATCTGACAGCAACAATTAAACACAAAAGTTAGTCAGTAAATGGGTCTGGGGTGATTTAAAATGCAGGGTCCCAAAACTATCATACTTGTTTAAGAGCAATTACTGCTGTTTCCACATGGCTTTTACAGGAATGTCCCCCACCCCTGCCCTGGACTTTCAATTTTCTGTATCTCAAAACCCTGGTCATGCAATTTTCCTTACAACCCACTGGTAAATCACAAAAGTTAAACATTATGTCATGTTGTTATTGCATGTGATAATAGTTTGTACTTTTTTAAAATTTTCTTAAATGCTTTTGTGAAGAATTAAAACAAACATATAAGGATTGCTGCTGCTATTAAATGCAAATCACATTGAAACTTTTTAAAATTATTAGTTAGTTTAAATATTCTTACCTTGACACCAGCTGCTTCTGCAGCTTTTAGTGTCTTCATAACAGCTTGCATTAGATTCTCAGCATTCTTCACCAAAACTTTATCAGCCTAAGACATAATGTGCATAATGATCATCATATTCAGAAACACCCACTAAATGAATCAACAGGGCTTCAATTTACTATTCACAAACTGTACACCATAGAAGTAGTTGCTGTACACTTACACCCCAATATAATACTAATAATAACAATAATAATAATACTAAATTAAAGAACAAGAAAATAAACATGGACAAGAGCTAAAATTTTGGCAACCAAAGATTATAGGAAAAAATCCTCCCAACTAATATCCATAAGAGTATACTACTCAAAGTATTAAACGTACATATCTGTCTTCTGGAGTTGCAGCCTTCACACTGGCAATGATGTTAAGCTGAGTGCTGATAGTTGGCACTTGATCTGCATAGGCCAAGAGATCTTCTGAGAACCTGCAAAATCAACAACTCTCCTTAACATGAGGCTGCAGTACCATCATCATTCTTACATGGACTTTGCAAGGGGATATTTTTGTTCCAACTTATAGCACTGTAAATTATTAAACTGAATAAGGTCTAGATCAGGATATATATGGCAATAGATTTCTTTCAATTAACATATAATTAGTATCATTCATACTGAGTGCCCTAATTTTATCTAAAAGATTATTCAATTGTGTTTGTACAGGTGCAAACATTTGAAAAAGTAAACCATGAATGTCAATGAATTCAAAAAGTGACAAAGAATTTTTAAACTAAGATAACACAAAGTAAGATTTCTAAATTTTGAAATTAATTACTTCTATTATTATAGCTTGTATAAATAATAAATAATAGCCTTGTATATTTTATTTCAGAGTGGTATCTTCTTTAGATTGAGTTTCAAGACTGACCAAAACAAAAACTATGAACATCACTAACAAATTTACTTCTCAGTAGTTATGACTAATTTTTACAACTTGAATATATGGCTTACCGTTTATCCACACAATACTCAGCAATAATTTTGGCAAATTGAACAATTGCATCTCCATTTTTTGCTATTGCTTTGGAAATTTGGATCATATCTTCTTTGCCCTGTAAGATGACAGTGAAGAATAGAAAAAACAACCTTTGTTTCTTACCAGATGCCTCTAATCCTCTTTTCCAAAACATAAATTTAAATTAAGATTTACAAGCATAACTAATTAATTCTTTAAAAATGTGTAATTCATTTCAATGAAATTTACACATCAAACCCTGTATAGGCCATTTAAACATTATTATTTTGCTTTTTTCCTAAACAACTAGAGCAATAAACTTACAGACAGTGGTCCTTGTTTCTTAGTGAACTCTGACAGTTGAAACATCTGCTCTGACATCTGTTTGGCCACCCTGACTATTGGATTGCTGTCATCCTCCCATTTGGCTGTCTCCAACTGGAGGTACTTGGCAGCAGCCTGACAATCAAAGGTCAAAAGATAATTATTGTTCCCCTGAATTTGTGTACATATGATACGAAGAACACTCCCTCCAACATCCCTAGCCTCTATCTATATTTGGGGTTGTGAGCAGCAAACAGTTTACTCCAGTCTCACAAGGGCACATATCACAGACATGAATCACTTCCTAAATCTGTGAATGTTATCATTAACAAACACATACAAAAAAGGTACCCAATTGTCATGTTATTACAAACATATAAAGTTACATGAACTTTGCAAGAAAAATGAAGACCTCTCATTTCAGTTGTCTTGGAAAAATTACATTTGTAAGATATGTCTTTTGCACATGTTTCAAAATTACAATTCTAATAATTGTGCACCCATCTTATTCTTGTCCCACAAAGTACTGGATATACATTTCTTATTGTTGACACAAATTGCCTTCACATAAATGTCATTGCAAAGTTTTCATTAAATGACATTTTATGATTTCCACCTTTCAAGCACATTAATCTAGGTAGCATTATTCACTTTGGCACTTGAATAACGGAAATGTGCAAGAGGAGTTGCAACTCAAAGTCAATTTATGTCAATTATACAATCTAGCTATAATTGAATTTAAAAGCAACAACTTATGTTTGTTTTAATAATCCACATATTATCAAAGAAATTGTATCCTTCCCTGTCAGTCAAAACTGTTTTTCAATTAAACCTGTAGCGCTACAAAATTAACCTGTTGTATATTATATACTTACAGCAATCTGATGTGCAGATTTTAGGGACCATTTCTCTGTAGACTGAGGGGGCTGTTTCCACACTTCCATAGGTTTGGACTTGCCAAGTTCTGAGAAGCTATTTGCAGCACTTTGGGGGCTTAAAAAACTAGCGAAACTTGGGGACCTGCAGATGAATAGTCAAGATATATGCCTATCCCTTTAAAGTTCACTAAATGAGATAATGTGCAAAATTATGTCATCAATATAGACTTATATTTCATATAACAACATATTTTGAATGTCTTAATCAGTTTACAATCTGTTTAATCAATGAAAATATCTACCCTCTTCCAAGTGGACTGGATCTTTTTTCTTGTACTTTTACAGATGGCGTGCCTTTGTGCTGGTCATTAAATTTGGCCTTCTGTGACTGCTGACCATAACCTGTTGTAGGCTGTAGCTGAGGTGATGCCGGACTGTCTGTATTCACAGTCTGTGTACTTCTGTGATTACTTGTGTCCAGTCTACTCATTGGGGTCATCTTGACAGAGTTGCCTAATTCTGTCAGATTCAGGGACTGTGACATTTGCCCTAAGAGGCTAGTAAGAAGATCTGAAGCTTGGGTGTCATCAACAGAAAATGACACACCTCTGACTGGTGAAGAAGTTGGGAGCTGGGGTGTGTTGGGACAGAGCGCCATCTGAACATCTAAAATATGAATTCATAATATTTTTGAAATGTTGCAAAAAGAAATAATAAGATTAATTAACAGAACATCAATTTCAAGCAACAGTTGTTGTTGTATTTTGACAAATGGTTTTACCTTGGGCAGTCTTTGTGTCAATCCTTTTGCAGGAACTCACTGCTGTGACCAAAAGTTTGGCCTTACATGCCCACTGCCTCTTCAACTTACTGAAATCATGCATGCTCTGGTCATTTGGGTTGTCTGCAAGAAATGCAAGTGAGGTTTCTCAGAATGTTCAACATACAAAAAGTGGATTTTATCGAGAACAATCCCAAATGAATTTTTACTAAGGGTTAACATCCATCATGTAATTTGATACTTGACAATGTTTGTACAATTTACCATTTATGAAATCAACCCAAGTACAGGATTTATTGCATTATGACAAAAGACCAAAAACAAGCAATAAATCCACAATTAACTAGAGGATCAGAGAGGCNAAATGAATTTTTACTAAGGGTTAACATCCATCATGTAATTTGATACTTGACAATGTTTGTACAATTTACCATTTATGAAATCAACCCAAGTACAGGATTTATTGCATTATGACAAAAGACCAAAAACAAGCAATAAATCCACAATTAATAACCTTCAACTGAAGACAAGCTTTTGTTATCTAAAATGATTTGATTTGTATGCTAGAGGTATTATCTTGTTAACTAATTCACAACAACTAATAACGAATGACTAGAGGTTAAAGATAAATACATCATCATGACACTGACTTTTGTTGGTAACTTTTCATAACCATGAAAAACTTGTGACAATAAAATTAACTAATTGAATAGCTACTAGCCCTAATTGGTTAAACTCTTTAAACTAGCTCAAAATTGATTGAACTCTTTAAACTAGCTCAAAATTGATTGAACTCTTTAAACTAGCTGAAAATTGAAACAAGGTTTTGCACACCATTTTTAAAACAACTTTTCAATGATTGTTTAAAGGATGTATATTTCAATTTTCACATTAACTCTTACCCATCAATACCCTTGCATATGCTGTTAAGTTTGGAGTGAGTCTTGCCAAATCATTGACAGTTTGACAAACTGTGGCTTTTATATCCAAATCCTCTTCTGTTTCTGCCATCTTTAGAGCAACATTTGAAATGGTTGCTATTGCCTGTTGGATCTCCTTAGATGCCATTTTAAAATCACTTAAATGGGTTTCTTTTTGAGAACCTACAAAAATATTGAATGTGATGCATTGTAACATCCAATATTAAATAATTGATACAGTAAAAATAATTTCCTCTGAAAAAATTCCACCAATGCTACATTTACAATGACATACTTTCCTAGAATCATAAAAGTCAATCCAAAGAGAATGACCAAGAGTGACCTTCTTTTAGTTATAGTATCCAGTTTTGTTATGTTTATAAGCATCTCTCCATGAGATGAAACACATATTGGCAGCATAGATTCCCATCACAGTACTTTGTATGTAGTCTGCATAACAGATAGAAACATTTTACCTTCTGACATTTATTTTCTAAATAGAGAACCAAAGTGTAGAACTGTTTACCTGCAGCACAGTGTGTCAAAATGGCAGCTTTGGCCAATTTTTCAGGAAAATGGGAAACATCAGCAGTCAAATCATCTATCAACTGCTTCAACAATTGCACCTGAAATGGTTAAGATACACAGCTGTAGGAAGGTGTGAGAAATGAAAATAAAAAATATTTGTGCATCATATACTTAGGAAAAAACAGCCAAGATTGCATTCATACTGATGTTGAAGTGGATTGTAAAGATGCAAGAACAAAAATCATTTATCATAAATCTGCTAGCATTTTCCAGCTGTGTCATTTTTATGGAGTACTATCATCAATTAAGTGTCTTATTGCAACTCTGCAATCTTCCACAAAACTTATGTAATTACAGTAATTCTACCTTGCATGCCCACTGGTATTGCAACATCTTGATCTTCCATTCAGCATACAGGCAGTCAGCAGTGGTGATGGCACTTGGGGCATTCTCTGCAGCATGGACAGTTTCAGCCATGAGGTTTGTCAAGGCATCCATGGCTGAGGCTGCTGTGGACACCTGGTTACTTCTGAATTGATCATCCAACCTTGAATATAAACACTTTTTTATATTAAAGACAGCAATCAGTTTAAAACTTTTATTAATTTTTGGACATACAGTGACAACACAGAGTTGACTGAAATCCAAGTTCCCCTTTTCAAAAGGTGATCATTCAAGGGGCAAATGAAATGAGGAAAATGCCGTTTTGTTGTTGAGATGATACCTGAATGGGGTCATCATAAGAAGTATGCATTATTCACCAAAATACTTATAATTTTGTTGTCATGGTTATGCAAAATGTATACAACCAAAATGAATCTGTATAATATGTTGCCAATTCTACAAGCCCAAATGATCAACCGGTCATGATTGTTTGAGGGGAATTTACATAGATATAATTTCATTTTCTGTGAAAATGCCATTGGTAAATTACACAATAAAACAATATGACAAAACTGATTGTCTACAGTAGGCTAGTTAAATAAACTATTTCTCTTAACTAAATATGCAGGATGTGTTGACAATTATATGAAGTTAAAATGAATAATCTGTTGTGATTGACTGAAGGGGAATGCAGTTCGAATTGGAGAGGGATGAAAACTGTAAAACATAAACAGATACTTTAAGAAACATTTTGCTTGTTTCAAGCAAATCCAATATGGTGGAATTGCTTGACAACAACTCAAACAGTGACAAAAAACATTTAATCATGCAGAAAATAAGTTATGCACAGGAATAATTTCAATCAAGTATGGCTATCCAAATGGCTTAAGCTGAATGATAAGCCAAGTTTTGTCATTCCCAGTCCTGGTCAATGGAAGAATGCTGCTTTCCTATGCTGTTGTTACATGGGTTCTTGTAGGAAAATACTAAGACATGTAGAAGCCAATCACACAAAGGTTTTCACTGTTAGTAGGATTTAATCTAACATAGCAAGGCAGTGATCCCATCAACAAACAAATGGAACGCAGCATGATCAAAGAGACATCAAGAATAATCTAATTCTTCGCATGGACACTTTTTCACTATTAATATTCCTACGGTATGCTCTTTGAAATATTTCTTCACAGTGAGAGTGTTCAACTCTCTACTTGAGGAAATATGGGTGACGTAAGAGCAAAGAGAGAGAAAGATGTTTAGGGGAAGGGGGAATTACCCATGCACAACACAATTAACCATCTCTTGCCACCGAATGGTTTCCTCTGTAAACTTTTTGATCTCAGCCTGACTGCTTCTTGCACCAGAGGGACTACCACCATGTACCAGCATTATGACATGTGGGATGCTCTGTTTATGTACCAGGCTAACCAAATTGAGAATACTGCAAACCTTAGCAGCCCACTCAAAACAAACACTGTCTAACTGGTCCAGCTCATCAGTACCACCTGCAAAAAGAAGAATATTTTTTCATTACTTGAGCAGACTGACAATTACACTACATTTTTAGTACTGTGCACATTCCAATTATGTTTTTTTTTTTAATATTCGAGAAAAAAGAGAAAGAAAAAGCACCTTGGGGAAAGTAATAATGTAACTGAATAATGGTTAAAGGACACACTAACGCAATTCAGAAAAATTATAAGTAGCTTGTCGAAAATTCCAGAAATGGTAGCATGTTTTGGTAGAATGACAACCGGAAACAAAAATTTATAAAGGACTGTGTTACAATTTTTAAACAGAAAACAACATTCATACTGAATGTCAAGAACATGGACAGCCAAAGTCAGCTCTGGGAAGGGAGGCCAAGAACATAGACAGCCAAAGTCAACTCAGGGAGGGGAGGCCAAGAACATGGACAACCAAGGTCAGCACATAAAAGAATCAATCAAAGTTCAACACAATGTCAATTGTGATACCAACATCTTAATCACAACATCTACCACTCTAATTGCAGTGCTAGTTACTTCAACTGCAATAACTTTTCCATCATGACTTATCACATGTATGTCTCAAGGAACATCAATGCTACATCCTTTCAATCAAATCTATAATAAGACACTGTGTCTACAACATGATAAAATATAACCAAACATTATAAACTGATCAAAAGTTCTGAAAAGGAAGGTAGCCTCATTTCACATTCAATACTCAGTACCTCAATTTTTATTAGACCTTTACTTGCAAAAAACTGATCCCCAGTAGGAAGGAAACCACTGAATAAATGCTTAATTTAACATTTCTTGCTTATTAAATCTCAACCATCCTGTTTAAGGAACTTTTGAAATATTGTATTGTGGTACTATTCCAGAGTTACAGTGATCACTGTTCTGATGACTAAGAAAACTCTAAAACCCATTCCAGTTTTCATATCATCAAATAAAGAAGTGGACACTCTGACCACAAGGTCATCCGGTCGGTCTTTTTACTTTACTTTTTCATTTCTATAGAATAACTGTCAAATCAAACACTGAATAATGAAAAGGTTCACCTCAGTGCACAGAAAAAACGCTATGTGTTACCTAATGTTTTTTTATCATTTGAAATGAGAGACATCAGATTGAGCTAAATCAATGGTTTGTCATTCTGCATGAGATATTGGTTTACCAGTTGATGGATAGATTCATTACATGAATTTAACAAAAACAAAATCATGTATGTCATGTTTGAATGCCAAAGACAAAAGAACTTTATCAAAACTCTTACATCTTCCGGGATATAAGGTCAAGTTGAAGTAAGTCAACTGCTTTTGGAGTCAATGATTAAGAAAATTTCAACAAGTGACTGTGTTTAAATTCTGGCCTTCATATATTTGGTGACTGGTTTCTGATTGTCTTTGGAATTGAATGCAAATTTGATAACTTATCTGATTTCATCTGTAAACACAACTTATCTGTAAAAAAGTGTTGTACTGCAGCAATTACATGAAGGACAAACTGTCAAGCACAATCAATAGATGAAGGTTATGATACATTTGTTTCTTCCCTAGGCAAAAATACAACGCAATATTTAATTGCAAATGACTTTTTACCTAATGCAGTAAACAATCAATAACATCTAACTACTGACTAATAACATCCTATAATTATGTTTTACATCTGACTAATAAAATCCTAAAATTTTATCCTGAAAATAGAAAGCAAAGGTACAAGTAAAAATTGCTTTTTGTATATTGATATCTTCTATAAATGATTTAAAAATATACCTGATCGTCAGCTATCTCAGCAAAGCTGGATCTGACATACAATCTAAACTAACACTTAAAAAAAAATTAACACCTTTTTTTAAAGGTGCCATGTTGCCAACCCATGCGGCAAAATAAGTTAACAAGTAAAACAAATGTATTTAAATAATAATTGTTGTTATTATTATTGTTTGTTGTAATTAGGATATTATTATCAGTATTTATCATTGTTTGTTTCGTTTAGAGAACAGTGTTTTTGTATTGTATAAGTTTTGAGAGTATACTACCAGTGACCCATTGTGACGGGTCAATGATTTAGGGAGTAATGAGCAGATCATACTGGGGTGGAGACCACTCGTGATTTGTCAGCAGATGCACATGGGGGCTAGCCCATCATATATGTATATATATTTTTTTTGTGAACATCTGGATTATCTCCAAGTTTATGTAGCTGCAATTTGAGTAAGTTATTATTATTTAAATATTTATTTGTTCATTATAGAATCATTAATTATGCCTTTACTTTGCTCATGTTCACCATTAACTGTACTCCATTGTTAGTATTATCATTTTTATTTTCATTCATTGTGTTTTATTTTCATTAATTTTTAGTTTCACCATACACCATAAACTGTACACTGTTACTTGTCTTACCTGTATGTATGATGTGAAATAAAGGCTACCAAAAAATGAGATATGAATCCCGAGTTGTTCAACAGTGAAATCGAAAGCAGAGTCCCTGCCAGTGATATTCGAATGCCGAGTCCTTCCCAGTGAGCCACCTGTCTGTGTCTTTGTGTCCAACGCCTGGTCCCGTCTTCGTGTTACAGAGGAAGGTGAATGTTCCACCACGCCGACAATATGAGTGTACTAGAGAAAATGGAAGATCTACGCAGGGCGAGAAGAGCGCGTAAGGGCGCGGTCACTAGATGTATTGGGGCAGTTGAAAGAGCCGTAGCTGAGGAGGACTCTGGAATAGTTGCAAGTAAGCTAGATAAGCTTAAAGACACTTTTTCAACATTTGACTCAGTTCATGATCAATTTCATAGTTTACTTGTTGATGATGATGAAGTTGAATCAAGCGAAGCATGGTTTCGCGAAGTAGAAAACAATTTTATTGAATGTGTTAAGCTTGGTATGGGTTTTTTGAAAGGTGTAAAGAGCACAACAGAAGTACAGCCTGCAAGTGAATCAACTTTGATTTCATATTTAAATGTACCACGATGCAATATTGACATTTTCAGTAGCAATGCCAAAGATTATCATTATTTTATTACCTTATTTGAAGAGATTGTTGAATCAAATGTGAAAGATCCTCAAACCAGATTAAATAGGTTGCTTCAATTTACGTCTGGACCAGCGAAAGATGCAATTAAGAACTGTGTATTAATAGGCGGATCAGAAGGTTAGACAAAAGCAAGAGAAATACTAAAAGAAAGATTTGGTAATGATCATCTGGTTGCCAATGCTCTCATTGAAAATCTCAGACATGGCAAACGAGTTAGTTATGCTAAAGAGTTGCAATGTTTAGCAGACGAAATTCAAATTGCCAGTCTTACACTGGAAAAGTTGTCATTAAAAGGAGAAACAGAAAACCAAAAAATTATGTTGGACATAGCACGTAGATGTAGTAGTTAAGTTATGAAAGATTGGCAAAAGAAAGCATTAGAGGTGAAAAAACGCGTCAGAAAATATCTAACATTTACTCAGTTCGCTGATTATATGACGGTATCAGCCGTGGACACCAAGACCCGGTCTACGGAGATCATTCTTTACCTAAACGGGCCAATTCATCTCTCGCGTTTGCCAGTGCCAAACAAGATGAAGTTCCGTCAAACATTTTGGTTTTTACCCCTAATTACAGATTTTCATTAAACAAAGGTATTATTTTGCTTTATCAAAGATAAAATCTAAACTAAGACTTTAAAGAAAAGTCATTGGCAGGATTTTGGAGTTGAAACAGTGACGGTGGGTGCTCAGGTAAAAGAGAAATTTGAGAAACGGGTTTTTCAGTTTTTACCTCAAAATCACAAATATGACATCACCCGTAAGATGGCATATGTGTAAATGATAATAATTTAGTCACTGAACAATGAAGAATTATTTATTACCCCAAAAAATATATTTAAGGCAGTACATAAGGAGTTTTGGGCAAAGGGTGACAATATCCTTAAGTTAAATAGGAGCAATTTGAGTATCTTTTCTAGATTCGAAGATAAAAGACTGGAACAATCATAATTATTTATGCACAACTGCACATCAGAATCAATCATTGCGTAAAGAAATTCCCCCGAACAGTAAAAATGTTAACAGATGGATGGACAGATGAACAGAGGGATGACTAGAGACAGTATAATATGACCTTTAAGGCAAAGGATAAGAAAAAAAAATGAAAAAAAGAAAAAAAAAAGAAAGCAAATGAAAAATACAGTAATTTATCTTATTGTCATCTCGAATATGACAACCATTTCTCAAATTAATTTCTCCATAATGAAAAATGTCACGTCACATTTCCTTGAACAATACCATAGGTCTGCACAACAATAGGCTTTTCTGATCTCTTAGTGGACATTGGTTCTTGGAAAGCCTGATTCGTCTTCATAAAAATACCGCCAGCTGACTTTTGTGACTACCAGCGACACAGACTGAATCTTGTGTAGTAAGAACACATATTAAAGGACAAGGAAGTTATTTGGTGAGTAAAAATTAAACAGTTTTATCAAATGAAACGGAATGAAAACAATAGGCACCAGACAAAATTTTTGCATGGAATTATAGAATTACCTTTTTTTCTTTGTCAAAAAGCCAATGAGAGGAGAATGAAGACACTGTTAGAATATAAACAACATAATTGGTAAGCAGGAAACACTTCACTAAAAACGTTTCTTTTATATTTTTAAAATGTTTTTTTCTTGAGGTTCTTAATCAGTTTCAAAACACTTGTCCATCAAACATTTTGCATAAAGAGATCAATAATCAGTTTCGGTTAGATAAAACTAATTTTTTGCCTCAGTGTATGATCTAATACGTACTGTACTCATTTTTTACAGGTAACCCCATAACAAGTATTTTAGTCAAGATTTATAATGCTGCATATCAACTACAGCACTCTTTTTATACTGACACACAAAATAACTGTTTACTTTTTCTTTGATTAAATAAATATTTAAGTCAAAATGAATTCATAAAATGATAAAATAGGCATATTCAGTATATTCCTTTCTCAACCTCTTGAACAATAGTCAATTTGAAAACTAATAACCAAATCAGGTTGTTTTCATCTAAGTTGCGGATTTAAATATAAATTCTGCAGATCTTTCCCAAGTTAAATTCTGTAGATCATTTCCAAGTTAAACAGAAATAAAAGATTTACTTAAATGTTTCTTTCTATAACCTTTTTTTTTCAGAGCTTTGTTACATGGCAACTATCAATGCATTCCAAAGTTCCTTTGACAATACAAGTATGAACACAACTGGGGAGTTGGATACCTTGAGAATGGAGAGACAAGTGGTTGGATACCTGTCCTTACCAATCATCATTTCAGGCATTTTTACTAATATCCTTATTCTTGGAGCTACTTTTAAAACAGAACATCTGCGTAAGATGCCTGTTTCACCATTCATAGTGACCATGGCAATGGCTGATCTGACAATAGCCATGTTTTACCTGCCTTTCACAGCATACTTAAGAATAACGCAAGAAGGTCTTGATGAGGGGTTTTGTCACTTTTTAGCAGCTTTTTTCTGGGTCCTTGCCTGCACTAGCATATGGGGAAACGCATGCTTCACCATAAATTGTTGCTTTGCTGTTGCCTGGCCTACACAGTACTATGAATACCAGAAAAGAAATCTTGTGGTTAAAACCTTAGTATTCATTTCAGTTTTTATACCAGTGACCATAGTAGCCATAGCAAGAGGAATAAGTAACCCAAAGCAAGCTGGACTAGCAATAATTATTCAGCAGTGTTTGATAACTGATTTCAAAGCACGTTTGATTTATTTCACTGTAACTGTTATCATACCTTTCTGCATTATGCTTTTCTGTCATGTAAAAATAGCATTTGTTATCAAAATAAGCAAAGAAGCACAGAATGTAAGTTCCCAGTTCAAGCAGGATGTGAAACTCACCAAATTAGCATTAGCAGTTGTTATTAGTTTCCTGATTTTCTACGTGGTACCACTTATCCTCATCTTAATTTCAACAGCCATGAATTTGCAAACATGGATAATAAATGGCCTAAATCTCCTTGTTTGGATGGGATTTGGTACCAATGCTGTCATTTATGGACTGATGAACACAAAGTACCGCAGAGCTTACAAGATGATTATCTGCAGGTGTTGCAAGGGGGATCAAGTGGAACCAGTCTCTGTGCAGACTTCTTCTGTTTAGTATAAAAACGGATCAGCAGGCAACAGCACTGACATGTCCAGAATGTCATATTCTTCATGTTTATCAAAATCCATAACCAAGGAACACTAACTGTTTATGAAAAACTGAAGAGCATTCAGAGAGCACAGACCAAAGCAAAATGTAAATAACAAGCAATTACAGAAAATTAAATAAAATCAGGACATCGGGATCAGTTGTTATTGTAATCATGTCTACAAGCCAACTTAAAGTAATATTCAAATACAGCAGAAATTATCTTTGATCATAAAGGCAGTTCCTTCTAGGCCAAGCTGTACCATTGCACTAAAATACAGTGTTTTACTAATAGGGTAAAAACAATTTTGCAAAAATTAACTTATGGTGCTGACTCTGACCTCAACCTAACTTATCATCAAATATGGTAGTAAATTTTTTTAAAAAATCAGTCAATAAAAAACCACAAATACAGTTTGGCAATTGGGATGTACAAATGTGTTGAATGATGGCAGCAATATCATGTCCAGACACAGGTAATCAGAACACACACACACACACAGTGTATATAAAAATTTATATTATTTAATATAAAAGAAAACATATTCTCCAAAAGTATCTTCCCTAGGTTATTGAATGAATCAGAAAAAAGCATGTTCATGCTTGTATAAAAATGATAAGGAGAAAAATATTTTTAAAATACACCACAACCAAAGAAAAATGCAGGGTTCTCCTTATGTACCAGATCCAATTTTGTTCCAACACTGAAAATGGTGTTAGCATGGTACAAAGAGGTTCTCATGATATTTCATCAGGTATCATTAAGCCAACCTTAATGTTAACACTCCAAGATATAAGGTAACTGTCAAATAATGATTCATTCCTCTTACAAAGGCATTCCTGTAATTATTTTTACATTTTGCCTTGCTTTCCTGTTTTCCAAACAATAGGTCTGTGCTATTCAAACAAAATGAAAGAGGGATAATAACAAATAATGAAATCCACACTTTCATTACTGAGAGTCCACGCAAGTCATCAATCAGGATAAAAACAACATAAAAAATCACTTCAAAGATGCAAGGGTTGCTAAAATTATAATTATCTATCCAGTTTTATCAAATTTTCGCAAAAGGCAAAAAACAGTGATCTTAGTAACAGCCACTCTCTCCACAGTAGTGCAGACCTGTAGGAGAATTGATTGTTGTATTAACACTGATTAACAATGTGTGCTGAACTGGGTATGCATTGTTTAATCTGGTGTCTTTTATAATTGAGAATACAGGAAAAGGTCATACTCAAACTCATATTAAACAAGGAGAGCAAAAAAAATAAATAAATAAATAAATAAATAATAATAATAATAAAAATACAGCCCAAACAAACTTAGTGACAATATTTCTCAGTTATCCAAGTGAAAGAAACATACACATCTGCAACTAAAGCAACTTCTCAGCAACCACACATACTGGTCATGGTTAAAGCAGCAGAAACTGCCATGTCAAGCAATTAAAAATATTGTGAATTAGGAATCTCGCTATAAATTTAATTCTCACTCATTTTAATATTTTCCATAGCTAGTAATAAAGACATCTGAAAATACCTGTATGCGCAATCACATCGGCTAGGGTCACAACAGTTGCTGTCATATTTTCCAAGTCATTGCCTCTCTCCTTCAACTGCTGTAATCTCTCAACTAACACAATGTCTCCATGATGAACCACATCTCCAGAAGCCATTTCAACTAATTTTTGTAGATACTTCTGGTGATCTTGCAGATGATGGATCTAGAAATAAAAACAGACAATTTAGAGATTCACAAATTTCTTTACACTGTTGGAATCTTCCAAATAGGAATGCTATACAACTTCTCAACAGTGGACAGTATCACTCCTAAATCAGTACAAAAAAATTTAAGCTTAAAAAAGACAGTTAAAGAAACAAAATATTGCTTTTTCTACACTTAATTGCCACACAGATACTTACAGACAAGAGTGATGTTATGTAAAATATGAAATTCGCTAACAAATCATATATCATAACATGAATATACCCTACCTCTGAAGTCAACAACTTGGAATTTTTCATCCTGGCAGCGTCAGCTAGTTTCCTAGCCACAGAGTGGGGTCTCTCAACCATTGCAATTATAACACTGTACAGGTCATCCACCTAAATAACATGGGATGTCAAGAATGGCTAGGTCATTAGCAACCATTGATTGAGAAAAACTCAAAATTAAAGGTCTCATTTAACATATGTAACACTGTAAATCATTCTGCTATAACTATACTGATATATAAACACTTAACTGTTTAACAAATTTTCTGGTAACACATACAAACACACTCAGAAGGTGATAACATTTAATTAAATTAGCCATTTCTCAAATTTAGCTTTAAATGACTTTCCAAGACAATCAGGATGCCAATGGGATGGTTAGTTTTGTCTACCTGTACAGCCCAATTTTCTCCCACTTGATGTAATGCATCCAACTCTCCTACATCTTTTTCTGCCACCTGGTGACACTTTTCCAGCAGGACAGGGGTAAGTCCGGTTACCTCAGAGAGACTGGACACCAAACTTCTGAATGGGAACATCAAATGCATACATTCTTGGTATTACACAGCTAGAAATATTTTTAAACAAAAAAATATGGCATAACGATCCACTACACAAAAAGTCAGTAATCTTATTTTGATGTCTTGTTAACATTCTCTGAAAAATAATAATAAAAATTCTTTTCAAATTACCACCAGTCGCCTCAATTGATCATAAAGTGCAATTTCAGATCACTTACAATCTTACATGGTCTTAAACCATGAGCAAGACCATCACTGGACTAACTTCCAATTAAGTTGTTATTACAATTGTTTCCCCTCATAGGTTCTCCTATTGTGAGCAGAGGTGTCCTCCACTGTGAGTGAAGGTACAACCCATTGTGAGGGGAGGAAGCTGTTTGACCACTTAAGTTATGTAGATGCAAGATCATTTTTGATCTTTAAAGCAGACTCAATCTATTTTAAGACTAATGCTGCAATGATTAAGATCATGTAAAATCATTTGTGATCTAAGATTGCACTTAAAATCCAAATCAAGTGCATTAGTGTACTCACCCATGAGACTGTCCCTCAATTGTTCCACTTAACTCATTGCCAATCTCAGTTAAATCATTGGACAAGGAAAGAAGATCATTGCAAAGCAAATTCACTTTAGTTTTGTCGCCTGCAATAGCAGCTGCAGTGACAGCTTTCAACAGCCTTTGCGCCTTTGATTTGCCTAAAATTCAAAATGTGATACTGTCATTATACTTTCCAGGTGTCATCCAAACTACATATGACATAACTTCTGCAATACAGCATTGAAACTATGGATTGCATTTAACATGAATTATGTATTTATCACCTTTTACTCATGAGATGATCAATATTTTCTAAACAGAGTATGAAATTTAATCTTCTATGGACCTTTAAAAATAAAATTACAAATCCATCCTTATTTATGCCATATTTAAAATATTCCTTTACCTAAAAAAAGCGATGTGTTTTTGCTCGTAGAACTCTTGGCTATGTGACTGTGTGTTGATACTGTACTGAATAATTCTTCCTTAGGTTTGACCATGAAGTGGCTGCCAGGGGACCTCTTCTCTTTAGACACTGGTTTGCTGAGGTACATGTTGCTTTCAGGTGAAAAGTTGTTTTCACTAACAGACCCTGTCTGTAGATTTTCTTGGTCTTCAAAATTTGCAACTGTATCTGGGAAGTATTAGTAATATGTATGTATTGAACAACAGAAATCACCATGGGGTACTTTTTCACTGATTTTAATCTTAAACATTATGATGTATATCTAAAATCATAAAATAAAAACTGCAGTTACCTTTCTTAATATTGGATGAAGATCTCTGATTTTTTCTTAAGGGGCTCAGGATACCAGGGTGATTTTTTTCATTTAATCCTTCTCTTATCTGTTGGACACACTGAAGTAAAATCTTGCACCTTTTCTTCAAAATTTCATAGGCATTTTTATCTCCTCTGTCTTTCTTTAAATGCTGCAGGGCAGATTTCACACCTGTTATTGCTAGCAAATAAAAAATAATAATTATAATTACTGGCAAAATAAAAAGTAAAAAATCATTATTTATGAAAAATAAGGAATTCAAAATGCATATATACTGCACTGAATTTTCAATCTGAGATTTTAAAGATAAGAAAACATTATCTTTTGTACTCTTGACATACCTGTGTCCATGAACCAACTTCAGCATACAAAACATGTTACTTCTAGAACCATATCACCTAGAAATGTGTATTAAGTATAGTACCCCATGTCTTCAAATTTACATTTACCTTTTTTAAGCTGATTAACAAACACCAAGAGTCCATTTCTAAAGATTGGGTCTTCATGATTATCCACCAACCGCAATGCTATTTGTTCAATTCTTTTGGCCTTTCCAACAATTCCCTGTGTGGCGTCTGTTACAACCTCCAAGTCTGGTAATAAGTCCAAACTGCGCACTAGATTTACCTCTTCTTTTAAAACTTGAACTGCACAAAGATTAAAAATGATATTATTTAAGAATACATTTTCTAAAATAAATTGAGTCTTCTATTATAAAAAGTAGTCTTCTTCCAATGTTGCATATCTTACAGACAAGTCTGTTGAGCTTTTGTAAACATTTCACATTTATTTTGCATAATTTTTACTCCTGAAATACCTTTGAATACAAAATAATACATGCAAACTTTTACACATATTTTCCTAGATGAAATAGACAAACTATGTCAAGTTCACAAAGAAAATTATGAAATTTCATTTCAAAATACCTGAAGCATTGAGAAACAACCCAGGGTCGATGATATCATCAATGTTGGTCACCAATGTGTCGAGTTCTTGTGTCCACTCTCGTTTCAGCAGTTTCAAATGTTCTACTGCTCCCTGATCTAGCCTGTCCTTGCGACAGCAGATAGTGGCTGGGATAATTTCAGGATCGAGTTTCTCAAGACGTTTAACACTTACTCTGATAACTCGCACCCCTTAACATACAATATGTGATAGTGATATTTTCTATTGATAATCAGTTGGCTGCAATCATACAGAATTTTTGATTTTATTATATACAATCTAAAAACCATTGAACACTGTACTGTATTTATCCATTATATACTTAACTATCACTCATTAAGTTCTTCAGGTCTTGATACTGACCATTTAAAAAGTATAAGACAAATTATGTCAAAACAATTTCTTTATATATAAAATATGAATAAATACATGAAATTTCAAAAGATTAATGGAATATTTCAAGTTGCATTTCCTCTAAGTATAACAATTTACAAAAAAGAAAAGCTCTACAAGGGATCTCAATCACTCATTACTTACTTCTGGCATTGGTAGAACTGGCTGCAGTGAAATTGGCTACTTGGTACAGCTTGTCAGAGTGAGAATTGAAATCGTCAAAATAAGATTGCAAATATTCTACACATTTTCTCTCTTTAATAGGAGTTCTTTCCTGTAAAAAAATAATGAAGTCAAGAGAGTTTCTAAAACATCTTCACTTTTCATTTTTGTACAAAAAATTGTCACAAAATCATATTTTTATCTGCTGAAATTCAAAAACACTATCTTCTAGCAAAAAATCATAATTTCTAAATTATTCATGTATTCACTGTATTATTTTAAAAGAACATCTGTTTCTGTATAATACAAAATTTCTACCTAAAATTCAATTTTAAGACCAAAGCATAATCAACTACCACACCTTGGTAGGACTAAGAGCAGCTTTCACCATCCTCTCCAGTGGTCCAGTAGTCTCACTGAACACCTCCACAATCTGGTACAAGATGGCGCTGTTCACATGTCTTTCTAATTCTTGAAATTCTTCAATCAAGTGTTCACATTCCTCATCGAAATCAGACCTACAAAATTATTGTAATCATATAGTAATGAGTGTAAATGCAAACTTCTATTATCAATGTATAATGCAGATATTATGGAAGAGGCAGCAGTGTTACATATATTCATATTCAGTCTTGAATTTTCACTCACTGAACATAGCTTACAGACATGCTCACAAAGAAAATAAAACATGTATTATCTTTACCTTAATTCACCAAACTGAGGATTGCCTTGCACATTTTTCATTTGCTCCTCAATCACCGTTTTCCTCTTAAGTATCTGAAATCAAATATATATATATATATATATATATATATATATATATATATATATATATATATATATATATATATATATATATATATATATATATATAATATCAAAAGTCAAATATTTTCAAAATCAATCTACAAAACATTTTTTCTAAATAATGTGTAATTAAAACCATTTCAATTAAATGTTATGCTAAGAATTTTGGTAAACAAAAAATGTTCATCAACTTGGAACCCTGTGTCATAATAATCTAAAAGTTTTCAAATGCCTTACTTTTTCAATATGTATCACTTAAAACTAAAAAAAAATGTACTTTCTGACATGAAGCCAACAAAACTTTCAGAACTTTTGAATCAACATTTACATCACCACTAATAACCTAACTGGATCATTTTGTTTAAATTTAACCAGTAACTAACCCACCTTATGGCAAGCATTGATGACAGGGTCCCTCTGATCTTCTCCAGACAAATGTGCCACTGCCATACTATGTCTCACAATGCTTTCAACAACAACTTCAAAATCAGCATCCAACTTTGTACGGTTTTCTGCAGACAATAAGTCCAATATCTAAAAGAAAGGGAAATATTTTTTAAAGTTTTGCCAAATGACAGCTAATAACACAACAGTGTTATTGTTTATATTTTCATGACACACTACACTACAGTGGTGAGTTACAACATTACAACTGCTAAAAGAATAATGATATAACAATGAGAGTCTTGGCATTGTCTTTATGCATTGTCTTTATGCATTTAGAAAATAAGGCCTAGACCTAAAAAGTGAAAATTACTCATTTGCAAAATGTCAGAAGAAAAAACATAAGTCTACCATTTATAAGCTACAGGTAGTAAAAAATACTAATATTGTATTACTAAAAATACCTGGTCAATCTTAGCCACAAAATGTCCAATGTCTTCTGGTTCTTCTTCCTCATCTTCATCAGTGTACTTATTCTGCACAACATCCCTAATATCACTTGCCGCTGTCAGCACCTGGCCTATAACATAGTCTCTGCTGGTCTGCAATATTGGCAAAAAAATATGTTGATCACTAACAAAATTTTAGTTATAAGTTTTGAACACACCTGTCAATCAAAAACTTAGTGCATATTGAATTATGTACTACAAACTATGTATTCAGGGTATAGCCAGGGAGGAGGGTATTTGGTGCTGATCTAGCCCCATCTTCAATAATTGCTGTATCACTGACTGTATGGCTTAATGGGCTCCTGTGCTTTAAATGCTAATCAAAACTACTTTAACATGGTGCCATTCTAATGACATTACAGGTGACTTCATCTTGCCAAATTATTCCGATTATTATACAAACCAAAAATGCAACATTTAAGTTTCTCTTTGTATTATTAATCAAATAAGGCTTATGCTAAAACATAATTATATGTTTGTTACTATTACATAAGAAATGTGAAAAGTTATCACTCCACTTTAAAAACACTTACTCCAGCCTGATTGTTGGTTTGATACTTGACATAGGTTTGCATAGCAGTGCTAAGCATGGGCACAGCTTTCTTCAGTACTGTCATGCTACTGATAAGACGCTCTCTCTGTCTGGGGTTGGTAAGTTCCTTTTGTCTTTGCTCCACCAATTTGGTTAATATCATCAGTGATTCAGAAAATCCCTGTTAAAATGCAGGCATATTTCTTCTAAAGCTTAACTTTGACAATAATCAAATGGCATCTATTAATATTCATATAATTTCAGATTTTAAAAATATATATTACCCATGTCAAAACAGAACTAGAAAGAGTTTTTATATTAAAGCAGTCCACACAGGGGAAAATTAGAAGAATCTGTACTCCAAAGGAAACTGAAGTAGGGCCATTCCGTGGTATTTTTTTGCTGTTACGGAAGGACATTTGACACTTCAAATGAAAATATTTTCAAAAGTAAAAAAGTTACAAGGTCCATTTTTTGTATGTTTATTCTTCTATATGTAAGTTATAATTAGGCAAAAAATTATAGTTATGAAAAAATTATAATAAATAGTTAGCATCTCGGAAGGACGTGAAATGGACATGGTTTTTTAACTTTCAACTTCAACACTAAAATTCTGCTCTGTCTGTGTATATATTTTTTAAGTCAAATCAAAATATGAATATTTGATTATTTCACTTTCTCAGTGTATAAAAATGTTTTTGGAAAAAAAATAATATATTTGAAAATTTTGCATATAAAAATATCTAGTAGGCATCATGGAAGGACGCATCTCGGAAGGACGATTTNATTATTATTATTATTGCCTGCTTTTTGTGCACTTTGTACAATACATGCCATCTTGTTTTAAGGCGTCATCGTCTGTCGTACCTATACATAGAGGATGGTATTCTTTATTGCAACCGTCACAAATGACATACAGGGTGTGTGTATCTGGCAGCTGGCATTCACAGTATAAATTGATCACAAGGGAGTTTTTTTTAATATGATTTTTAATTTTACACCTGCTTGTTATAGGAAAAGCAATAGATGACGCCATTTTAAACAAACAAAAAAAAAAAAAAATGTGAACAAAGTTTTTTGTGGTCATAATTCATGGTTGTTGGATCTTTGCCGTGTGCCAAGGTAACCATATTCACTATGGCGTACAGACCGCAATTGTAGTTTACTAGTTGTTACTTTGTTGGGTTACGTCCAAAACGTTAATTTGTAGAGTTCTTGACGATGGTGCTATCAATGTCGCAGTGCACATTTTTTTCCATGGTTGGAATGTCACTGAAAGAGGAATCGCATATATTCACCGGATCTGGGGCACACCCAATGATTGAAACTGTGAGCAAATGTGTTCCACTGTCTGGTGTTCGGTTTATAATTTGGATAAATTGATTTTTGTGATGTTTGAAATCTAATTGTACTGCCAGTGAACAAGACTAGAGTCCTTCTGGAAGCGGGAATTGGTGTTTAATTATATCATGACAAGCGTCAATTATCGTTCCATTCAGCCAACAACAAGGATCAGTGATTATATTGAGGTCTCTGATGTTCAAATTTTCATTAGTAATATTCCTATCAGTCGGGATCCATACTTCTCTGCTGTAGCTGATGTCCCTGTCGTCTTCAGTCTGGGAGCGCAAAAGAGCATATAGGTCGTTGATGATTATGTTTCGGGTATTTACAGGAACCCTGTCGGCGATCATTTTGCGTTGGAACTCTTCAGATGACTCAAGAAGAACAATAGGAAATTGTATTCATAAAAGAAGACACAACGTCAGATTTATAATCATCTCACCTGCCATCGCAAAATGTTGCATCATTACAGATGAAAAAGTTAAAGTGGATGACGGCATTCAATCTTATCTGCAGCCAACGGTCTATAAATCGTGTTATCGTCACATTGTGACAAGCACATTGCATCGTGATGTGAACAGTGAACAACTGACACAGTCGATATCATATACGTATCCTTCATTTCAAATGTTTTATCCTGATGACGTTTTGCAATCATGGCAGAATTACCATTTAAGAATTCCCTGACTGAAGATGACACCCAGTGTACAGAAAGTTGGATGAAATTTTCGGCTTTTATCATCACCTTTCGCTGACGCCATGTTAACATCGAGTATAGATGGCGCTGTGCAAGAGGTGAGACTTTGGGTTTGCACCATAGACCCCAACCGATATCAGTCAGAGAGAGAGGTTCATCGCCTGCTTCCTAAAAAAAAAAACCCGTGCAAGGATGGAGGCATTACACAGGATAACCAGGCTCCAGTTGTGTGTGATATAGTGTGATTTGTAAAGCAGAGAAAGTCACGTCGAGACCGTTAAAATAGCGCCATTCCTATTGGTTTAAAGTTAAGGAACAATACAGGAGCTGTCCAATCAAATTTCTTTATACAGTAATTATTCCTGTTTATTGTTTTAGTAAACAAAGCAAAGATATAATTTTGCACAGTAGCTGGTAAGTTAAATTTTTGTTCAAAATTGACCATGAAAGTTTGTATCCAGGTTTTTTTTATATGATAAATTTATTCTAAATGAAATTTTGGAGAATTTCCTGTTACACAACGACAATTTTTTGCTGATAATCCCAATATAATGGTGTGTATCACTACAAAAGAAAGATGCAACTGAAATCTGTTATTGGAACATGTTAAAGTATGATTTGATTTTTTTCTTGCAGATGTCAGTTAATATGGGAATTGAAAATAACAAAGAAGAGCAGTGTGCTCGTAAGTTGTGTGTGTGTGTGTGCGTGCATGCACGAGAAGTTATTCATATATATAATCAGGCTGTACACTGTATGAGTCATAGACTGAGTTCCCATACCTAGATCGATCTAACAGGGCCGATCCATCCCCAAGGGGTTTCTCCCAAAATTGCTTTCATCTTAAGCGTCTTAGATGTCTGCCACTCCTACTGAAGGTGCTAAATGATCATTAATATCCCCCTAGCAGCTTCTGGCACACTTCTAATATAAGCTGCCTAAGTTGATTGTAATTTAGGGAGAAACCTCTTGGAGATGGATTGATCCTATATAAGATAGATCTAGGTATGGGAACGAAGTCTAATACATGTTCTACCAAATCAATACATTGTCCTAAACTGCTCTTGCATACTTTTTAAATGTTCTTATATAAATGAAAAAGAAATTGACTTACTTATTCATAATAAGAATGCAATATATCCCTTTTTTATATTTAGTGAGTGATTTGAATGTCTGCAGTTACAACATCAAAAAAGATATATTGACAAGATTTCTTTCTATTTTCTGTTTCATTTTGAACAGCCATGGCCACTGTTCAAATAGTCCTAAAGGACAATATCTTAAAAGCCAAAGCAGTGGGCAGAGGAACTGCCCTTGGAACATGGGACACCCAACGTGGTGTAAACCTTGCTAGGTGCACCGAGTTGGGTGTCCCTGTTCTAAGGGCGGAAGTTCTTCTGCCCAAGGCTGCAAATATAGAGTGGAAGTTTGTTAGACCGCAAAACGTAAGTATAATATATTAATTCATTTGTAATGACAAATGAACTGAGATGAAAATAATTTTCCTTTTTATTGAAAAATAAAATCTAAGTTCAACAAATTTAAGTGTTTTTTTTTTTTAGCTTCATTCATTTCTTGTAGATTACAATGTATTTGATTACTCAAATTTTAAATATATGTATCTTTTCATTTGAATTTTCTTTTTCATTTCAGACATCAACTTATCTTCAATTTATTTATTTATTTATTTATTTATTTATTTATTTAGCCTTACCACCCTGGGTCTGGCTGGATATGGGAGCCTGAACCCTTTAGGAACAGGTGCCTCCAGGTGACTACCAAGGACAGCATGGAAGTGACCTGTACATGGGGAGAACTGGACATGGAAATAAAAGGTCTTGTAATTCTATTAAATCTAACTAATGGAAAGAAAGGCGAATTAACATTATTATTCTATAAAATGTAAGATATGGAAAGAAATGGCCCTTTAATTCTATCAAATGAAATTTGGACTATTTCATTCTCAATGTCTATATCATAATTTGTGAATAACAAAAAATGTATGCATCTTATTCCAGAGTCTAACTACACATATGAACCTGAAGTCCACACCAGTGGTAAGCAAATTGCAGGTAATAATTCAAGTGATTTTAGCAATTTACATGGTGCGTTTGTTCATTTTCACTATTTGCAAGGAATCTTGAAGTGAAATTATCAATGTTTTTGACTACAAACACCTTAACTCTCAGGGTGCAAGTCTTGACCCTTGAAGCTGTTGAGTATCAGGGACCATTCACAATGAATTTGGTCAATTTTGTCTACCTAGCCAATGCACACTAACTCCATGGAAACTTCAGAATGCAATAAGATTAATAAAAAAACATAACTGACTAACACATCCCCTCTTGTTTCTTACTTACCTGTAATTACATTACTACTGCCGTAACGTAACGTGTTAAGCTTAGATTAAACATAAATTGTATTCCCTTTCATTTTAATTATTCTGTTTCAGTTGATACCAAGAGTGATAACAGAGTAAAGGCTCCTAACACTGAAGAGACAGGTAAGACAGGAATCTCAGTAAAATATTTATTATTTAAATACACATATGAAATGTACACATGTGCACACTTGCACACACACACACTCTTTATTTTCAGAAAAATCCATGCTTTTACTGTGTAAAGATTGAACATGATTTGCACTCCTTTAAATTTGCTTCTGTTCTTTCAGTTGATACCAAAGACAAGAAATATGCCACAGTTTTAACAGTTGTTAAAAGTATTGAGGAGATAGGTGAGACCAGAAACTCAGTAATGCATATGCGTCCACACGCACTAACATGCACTCTCACACAGTACACACACACACCATGTTGCTTATCCAAAGTCTTGTCTTTAGCATACTTAAGAAATTCCAAATTTATTTTAAGTGAATTATGTCTTTGAATGTGTTTTCAACAATGTAATTCGGTATTTGTGCCCGAATTCTGTTTGAACATGGATTTTGTTTCATTTGGTTTCTATTCCATATTTTTTTGCTTTAGCCGACATTAAAGATGCAAACAGTGTATCACTTGCTGAGGATATCAAGAAAAGAGGTAAGAAAGTTAGGTCCATTTAAACACACCCAAAAAGTTTACACACACACACACACACACACACACACACACAGAAGCAGGCTCTCATACACAATCATTGTGTTAATTCACTGTTAGGTTATCTTATTCATTATTGTATCTTTGTCTGTGTATGATATCCTTGTTGTGCTCATGGACAGAATTATTTTGTTTTCCATTTTTTTCTTCAGTTAATGTCAAAGACACAAAAATTGTGATAGAGGACGTGAAGGAGAGAGGTAAGACGGCAGGGTCTATATAATAGGTATCTACTTATTACAGTGTTAAAATGTGACTGTGCATGCACTGTGTATGTTTGCATGCACACACACACACACACATACACTCCTTGTTGTGCAAACAGTATTTGTTCTTTTGACAAGTATTAATTGAAATTCAAAATTTGATTATTCTTAACAGTGGTAAATGTGTTTCAATGTTCATTTATTTATGAAATAAGATGGTGCACAGACTGTATATTGAAGGTTATAATATATTATAGCATTTTACGGAGTAATGTTTTGTCATATATTTCAGCACCCAAGGATCGCCGTCCTTCATGGTGGCGGAGATTATTTAATCTTTTTACGTCCTGCTTTAGGCGCAGGTCAAGGACATAAATGGTTATTATTATTATTCATTATTATTATCAATAAAAATTATCACTTCAAACCTTCAGAAATTAGGAAAATTTGACATCATTTTCAAAAGAACAGATTAATTTTACTGTCATATGAAAGTTTTGTTTGCTTCCTTCTTTGGATGGCATCAGTTAAGTTGAAGTTTTTAAGAGGCAAACTATGTCAAACAACTGGTAAAAAATGTATTTTAATGGCAGTTATTATATGATAGCAGCCAAGAGCTGGTGGATGTTGGATTGCTGCCTTTCAATAACTAATATGTTTTAAGTGAATTATATTTTAATGTTTTTATCTTATTTTGCAGGGCGGAGAGTGCAGAACTACTAGAGTATTTTTACCTCTGTGGCAGTCAATTAAAAAACTTCAGTATATCATTATCTTAGTTTTACAATAAAAATGCAATTTTCTGTAATCAAATGAGTTCTGTTTTTCCTTCTTTTCTACATTAAAAAGTTTAAGTTAGCATTATTATAGCCATTCTTATTTTAAGGCATTTGGAACAACAGGCAAGAAGCCAGCAGTTCCAAAGGGTTTATTTTTTTACTGAAAAGTTGCCTTTTTTTACGGGCCATTCCATAGGGCATTTGACACTTCAAATGAAAATATTTTCAAAAGTAAAAAAGTTACAAGGTCCATTGTTTGTATGTTTATTCTTCTATATGTAAGTTATAATTAGGCAAAAAATTAGGTTAAAAAAAATTATAGTTACGAAAAAATTATAATGGATCGTTAGCGTCTCGGAAGGACGTGAAAAGGACATGGAATTTTAACTTTCAACTTCAACACTAAAATTCTGCTCTGTCTGTGTAGATATTTTTAAAGTCAAATCAAAATGTGAATATTTGATTATTTCACTTTCTCAATGTATAAAAATTTTTTGGGAAAAAAATAAATTTGAAAATTTTGCATATAAAAACATCAAGTAGGCGTCATGGAAGGACGCATCTTGGGAGGACATTTTGTCCATTGCTAAATAAAATGTAAAATAAGGCTAATAATAATATTTTATGAATACATACCATCATAAGTTTGATGAATAATATCAAAGGTAAACATGTCCTTCCATGGTAATATATTTCATCTTCAAACATGTTACTATTTTTGACTATAATATAAGTTCTCATCTGCTCTGATCATCTTTAAATAATATTAGGACATTTTTAGAGAAAATCTTACCAAATCTATTAATTATAAATATAATAAATTGTCTAAATAATAATAACTTCAAAATTATTCATTCACATGAAATGTTTCTCAGTTTAAAAATGCTTCTATATATAATAATTGTGAATTTTAAGTTCAAGATTATCTTGAAAGACATAAGGGTTTAGGGCTCATTGGTCACATGACCTCTTATTGTCCAATCAAAATGCCTCATACGTGCTTCCACTGTGCTAGGTGTCATGTTTAATGCTCATATATTTGGATTTAATTTCTTATTGAAGTGGTTCTAAGCAAAAATGTTTTCGTACTTTGTTGGCCCCTATCATGGTTGAGGAGAATATGAAGTTATAAGTTTTTAGCTTTTGTAGTTACTGAGAAAACTTAAAAAATAGGTACCAAAATCGTTTTCACGGAATGACAAGTTGATATTAATTAATCCATTATTTTGNGTAAAATGGTTTTCCACTTATCGTGTTATCGGTAAAAGTGCACGACGGCGACGACGGCGACGACAGACGCAGATGATGGCTATATGTACAGACACATCTGTGTCTGTACATAAAAAATAGGTACCAAAATCATCTCAGAAGGACAAATTGATATTAATTAATCCATTATTTTATAATCAAATATTTTTTAATCTAATGCACTTGACTAAATGTAAGAAATAAGTTATATTTAATGTATTTAGTCTTTATTGTTTAAAATGATCTCTATTATGAAAAATATATCAAAAATAAAAATGTCCTTCCATGACACTATTTTATAAGTTTTCCAGATAAAAGTGTCAATAAAATCATAATTAATCATCAGAACCTAAAATTTCTTTTGGATTCTGGTGTCTTATGGTGTCTGGTTTCAGAAATTATAAGTTTTATAAGTAGGATTCCTTTTTCAAATTTTGACGTCTGCGGACCAAATACCACGGAATGGCCCAGTAATAAATGATACATATAAGCCTGTCTTGAATGGACTGATCAGTTTTATACAACACTTAGTCTTGCACACCTAATAAAAATGCTATACTGATCAGGGGTAACTAAAACTAGAATAATGCATATTCAGAGATAGCCAACCTTAAAACAGGCCACTAATGCCTTCATTGATTTGACAGAGCTAAGTAAGCTTATCCTGTCCATCACCCACTGACAGGCTGTCATGATCTTCCTGATCTCTGCATCATCAGCAACCAGCAGCACCTAGAATATTTAAGAAACACAATCATATATTTTTTATTTCTAATCATGCACTGAAACTAATTATTTTGCTGCTTTGATACCATAACTGTCAGAACTTAAAATTTGACCTTTCCTTGACCAGTAATATATATAAATCACATAAAAATGCATGGCAAAACATGCCAAGACCTTCAACTACATGCATTACCTTCATTGTGCCCTCTAAAACATCTTTGGCAGTTCTAATTAGACTCCTCCTGATTTCAGCTCGGTCAGGCTCTAGTTCTACACGCTGGGATACCAGAACTAAGTTCTGACCTGCCATTGTTATTAACTCACATGCTGAAGGCATCTGTCTTCTCAGCTCCTACAAGCATTTGAAATATTCATCTTGGAGTAAACATCATCACTATCTGCCTTTCTATTCTGCAGTTGAACATTTTAAAAACAAACATACTGAGTTTATTTTTTTAAGTGACCAATTTTTCAAAATCTTGTTACTTGAAAGGTTGGAAAGATACTTTTTGATTAATCTGAAGGACAAAATAGATAATTTTTTTCACTTAAGTATAAAAGCACTTGCAATGGTCTTTAAATAAGCACATACTGCACCCCACAGTTTAAATGCTCTTTGCAATAATCTTACTTTGTCTGTAGAATTCCGTGCAATTTTTGAAGCTGCCTGCACCAAACCTTCAGCAGCATGGAGAACATTTTCTGCATAGGTTGCAAAATGCCTGGGTGTGGCACATTTATCTCCCTTATTGTAAGCTTCATTGTAGATAATCAAATTTGACACCTAAAGTATAAATTGTAATAAAAACATTGAATTAATTCTGAAAAACACTAGTCTAGAGTCGATATTCAAAAATGCAAATAGAAGGGATGGAGAGCAATTTACTACCATTTGTTCTTTTTTTACTTTTGCCTTAAGTGCTACATTAAATATCAAAAGATGAATTAGGGACAGAGTGATTTAGTACTACCCGGTTACATAATCAATTACTGACATGTCTCAAGGCTCAACTCATTGATTGGAATCTACATGTAGATCGTACTGAGTATTCTGAGAAATTTACCTGGGTTGCAAGAGGTGCTAGGACCCGCTGAATAGATTTAGTCTGTACCAGGCTTGACAATAAACTATTGCTTGAATCCATTCTTGGTGGTATAAAGATACATATCCACACTAGATGCGTAAAGTTTTGTTTTACTCATATCACAACTTTTGAATGAAAACCAATACAAGCTGCACATGCGCATAGTGTGCTCGCTGGCAACTTGTGCGTAATCTCCAAACATTAAAGAGTTTGGATAAACTTTTAATAATTAAGTTATGTGACTTATCAAATGTAAGTGCCAAAATTTTTTCATTAATCTTGTTGCATCGTTAGGTCAAAAATACACCTTTATCTACCTTCTATCTACTCTCATGTTATCTCAATGAACTTTGCCTAATGAAAAAGCCGGTGACCTACTTGTGAGGCAAATCATGTGACATTGAGTCCTTTCGATGATGCAGGTGTGTGAAGTTTGGGGAAGATATTTCGACAGATAGTAGGAATTACTATGCTAAGATAATGTTTTTAGAATGTTATTACCAGAAGCAGTTCAATGTTTTCTCCTGCTTGTTTATGGTAAGTACTTCCTGTTATATATTGGAAATTGTACTGGTAAATTAATAGAATAACAATTAATATAGCTCTGAAATAATTGTAAATAATATTAATTATTTACAATTATTTAAAAATGTAATTATGGATAAAGAATAAAATTAAAAATGTAACACTTTCAACCTATTTTGTTTCTCTGATATGAGGTTTTGTATTCTGTTTTTAACTTAGAACACAAAAGCCACAGGTCTACCAAAGAGAAAAGATATATATATATATATATATATATATATATATATATATATCTTAAAGTTTGGTAAATTCAGGAATAATTCAAAATATTACAATTTTGAAGGAGACATATATTGTAAACCGAATACTGACCCTCATTAGGCCTCCCTGTACATGCAAATTAGCCTTCGCATATTTTATATCTTGAAAAGTGAATGTTAATTTTGATTCATCAAGTGTTATTTTACTAAGATAATAAGTACTAGGTAAATTAAATCTAATACTAGATTTCACGTTGAAACAGAGATCACAACCTTTTGACCTATCACAATTTATAATTGTCACCAGGGTTATTGGATGTATCTCAGGCCACAGATATAAAGGACATCAAGTTGTAAATTGGTGTGCAGAATCCAAAAAAATAGTTATTTTGATGTTTAAATTGAAGGGGAGGGAGGGGGGCAGTTAATATAACATCCTGTTTGGCAGGAAGGTATTTCAGAAATTTTGTTTCATAACAACTTATATAATGATTGTAGTTTTCAGTGAGCTGGAGTAATACATGTACATACTGTACTGTACTTCACCTCTCTAATTCTTCAAAAAACTGCATACAAACAGTATTGAAATTTTTGCAAAATAATTAAACCTACCAATTAAGGATTGTGCTGGGTTGTATAAGATTGTTTTTCTACATTTCACCTAGTATGTATTTTTTTATTTAAGGATCCTCTTTAATTGGAGTTAACAGCAGGGTCTGGTCTGGGATTTATAACAGACTTCAGTTTCAGTGTAATGAAACAATTATACAAAACTGCTCTACTTGTGCAAAGGGACATTTTGCTGACATGAGTAAGTGCACTTCAGAAGGTTATAATGTGCATATTTATCACTCAGTTTCTGTTATTCATTTCCTAATCCATGCCAATATTTCAAAATGAATAATCTATATTCCAGATTAGTTTAATGAGTTGCAAAAAATTCAAATCATTTAAGTGTAATTGAATCAAGTTTAACCATTAATCAAAGTGCATTTTCACCTCATTTTTAGACCAAACAGTATGTTCATGCTGTCAAGAACAGGGACAGTGTTGGGTTGACCACTGTTCCCCTTGTGTCCCTGGTACCTACCAACCAAAAACTGGTCAAACTAATTGTCAGCTGTGTGAAGAAGGAACTTTTTCAGGGTATGACAATGGTCTCTGATATTTTTTCTATGAAATAGTGTAAATACTTATAATTCGGTGTAAAAATGTATTTAAGTGTTGTTTTGATCCTTTATTTACTCTAGTACCTGTTTATGCTACAACTGTGTTTTTTTTTAGTTTTTAATATCTGAAAGATAATGATGGTAAGACTTTTTTTCTCTTTTTTAATAGAAATAAAAGCACTCAATGCACCCCCTGTCCTCCAGGTGAATATAATGATGTGGCTGGGAGTGACAAGTGCTACCAGTGTCAACCAGGTAAACTATAAACAAAGAATATTAATATTGAATTAAAGGGATAATAACTCTTCGTATGGGATCTATATTGCACAATAAAAACATTGTAAACAACTCATAGAAATATAATATATTCTGTTTTACCACAAAAACGGCAGTTATAGTTATTATTCTGATATCTGAGCTTGTCATCAGACCACGTGACCTCCATAGATCGCTATACTCTGTAATTATTTCTTAAGAGATTATAACATAAAACCAAACTTTTTAGAAAAAAAAACAAAAAAAAAAAAAAAAAACAGGGACTAACTTTGAATGTAGAAATGGATTCCTTAACCATTGGTAAGTATGGGAAAATTGTTGTTTACTCTGAGAAAATTCTTTTTTTTTTTTTTTTTTTTTTGCCTAAAGGAACGGTTATTATCCCTTTAATTAAAAATGAAGTTTATTCAATAATTGAAACCACCAATCTGTATACATCGAAGTGTGACATCCAGTTACAATGCCAAATTTATATGAAACATAGAAACATATTTATGAGGGAACCTTTATTTATTTCTTTTTTACTTTTTATTTATTTATCTTTGCTGCAGACTGTATTATTTCGCCTCCTATATATTTGTTTGGTACTGGTGCCACAATTTCTTTTTCAAAATATACACTTCTTATGTCTAAATACAATTATATTTTGTTTTTACTATGTTTACACTACACTTTTAATTGGCAATATATTGTAAATTATATCAATCTTATGTACTCATAGTTCTAGTTTTGATTGTATCTTTTGTACTATTTACAAGGTACCTACACCCCTGAGAAGAAATCTAAACACTGTATTGACTGCAGCAAGGGGTCCTATCAAAATGCATCTGGGGCAATCACATGCAAACCCTGTGATCTAGGAACTTTTAGCAAGTAAGTTGGCCGAAGAGTTTCAAATTTGTGTATAAAATTTTTGTCTTTATCTGGTCATTAAATGTTATCTACAAAGAAATGTTTGTATCTAACATGTTCATATGCAGGCCCTGGGCTATCTCCTTTTTCAAATACAACATGGCAGATTCAGCCCCTGTTTCTGGGAAATAGACCAATCTCACAGAGGCTCACTTTATCAAAATAAACTCACTGAGTGTTGTAATCAATGCAAAAGGGCCACTCTTTTTATATAATATATATGTATTGATTAATTGAGGAGTTGTGCATAATAGATACATGTAATCAGTCACTTTTATCTGGTTACATCAGTTATGTTTGGTTATATCATAGGTATAGTTACATTAATGTATAAATACCAAGTCCAGCTGAAAAGTCTGGAATTCTGGTGTATTTTCATGTTTATCCTGATGTTACTTTCTTTGACAACATGTGTCTGTATTTCTCGCTTTTGACTTTCAGCACCACTGGATGTCCCGAGTGCATGTTATGCCCAATCGGGAAATTTTCCAACAAAACAGGGCTTAGAGAATGTTATAATTGCCCTATAAGTAAGTTTTTAAGTCAGCTTTTGTGTTTGTCTTCTCTGTTGGTATTTCACAAAACATTGAATGGGATTTCAACATTATATCAGCATCTCATAGAGGTATAGATCTTAATTTGTCATCTTATCAAAATGGGTAGTTGTGTAATTTAAGAATCAATTCAAATAATCTCCTTGAATACATTGGATATTAATCTACTGCATATATTAAGGATTTAGTATTGTTAAACATGCATTTTATGTCTTTGTAGGTACATACCAAAATCAGACTGGTAAATCCAACTGCACGGTGTGTGACCCAGGTTTTGAAACAAAGTAGGTATAATCAACCATACATTTCCTAGAATTCTATAGATCATATTATGATATCATAAGATAGTTGTGATTGTATCGACACAAGTTTTAACAAGTTTTAAATTTAGAAATTTTTTTTAAAAATAGAATTTCCTTTTCTCAGTGAAAAATGGCACAGATTTTGCACATCTTTTAAATTTTGATACTGATAACAAGGAGAAGTTGTATAAAGAATAGGATTATCAGTGGAGCTGATGGATTTTTGTTGCTCTCATACTTTCCAGAGCAGAAGGTAGCTGGAACTGCACTGGGTGTGAGCCTGGACATTACAGAGCTTCTTCCACACTAAAGGAAGGTTGCAAAGAATGTAAAGAAGGTAGGCAGTTTGTGTAACTGAAAAAAAAAATCAGACAGTATTTAATTGAAGTTGATTGATTTGAGCAAATGTTATCAGTTGAGAGATTTTTTATGAAGCACAAAAATTAGTCAATTTAGTCCATCAAATTAATATACATACCAACCACTCGGATAGTTCTAGAGATTTTTCGGTAATGTCAGTAGTCCTGGAGATGTAACTAACCATTTGTTTGTCTCAATATGTTAGCATTTAAAAAAGCACACATGTTTATAACAATCTGTATTAATTGTGCAGCTCATAAGGCATGTCATTAGAACTGGAAGGTTTAACCAGTGAACATGTGACCTTTACTTCACAATACTTTTAGAATTTTATTTGCCATATAAACATTTTATTTCTTATAGGAACATACGCTCCTACAAGTAATTCAACAGAATGCACAAAATGCCCTGTGGGGGAGTTTAGTTCACAATCTGGTGCTACTAAATGTTTCAGATGTCCACCTGATGCTGTGTGCCTGTAAGTGGCATATCCTTAGATAAAAAGGGCAGTGACATTAAGATAAATAAAAGTTGATAAAGATGAAAATACTAATCCATGTAATTTTTTCTTTCAGATTAAATACATATTGTGACGTACATTTTTTAAGCTTTACATTTTGTCAAGTAAATCAACACTTTGGTTTTGTATTTTGCTCTTTTTTAAGAGAAAAGCAGACTAATGTTCAGTGGTACTCCATTTTGGACTGTAATACCATTCAGCTTTTAGTGCTTATTAAGTTAAAGCAAAGATTAAAGTAACCACAGGTGCATCAACAGAATTGTCTTTCTTATTTTAGGGAGGAAGGCTGTTATAGATGTTATGGGTGCCCCCCTGGCAAAGAGCCAAACTCTTCCTCGACTTGTAAAAAGTGTGCTCCCGGTAAGTAACAAGAAGGTGAATAATAATATTCAGCCCTACTTGTTTGTATGAATGCATATATCACTATGTGTTTATCTGCAGGCATGAACTTGGAGTCAGCTTATGCCCTGTATTGTGTTATGGCTAAGGAAGATCTAAGGGGCCATTTAGAATAGATGATCCGAGTGCTAACTGATCTGCCGACTAAATATGGCTGACCCCACTTCAAAAGCAATGCTGATAATTCCATCATCATCTCCACGCCTCCACCTGCACCATTGCAATTAAACCTCGGAGTCGAGATTTAATCCGTTTAATGGTGTGTGTAGAGGCAAGGAGACCATCTGGAATCAGGGGCATCGTTTTTGAAGTGTGGTCAGCCATATTCAGTCAGGGGATCAGTTAGTACTCAGATCATCTATTCTGAATGCCCCCTAAGTAGCTTCTTGATATAGCTTTCTCTACACTAGCTGTGAACAACTGTAACACAGTGTCCCTTACTTTCCAAACCAAGCACCTTTTAACTTTTGCCCTTCAAATTTAGAAGAGAAACATCTACAGTTGCTATTGAACTTGAATAGGAAATCACAAATTGAAAATGCAATTGTAATCTCACATTTTACCTTGACATTTTTTTTTCTACAAAGTGCACTTATTTGTGAATTGCTGTATTTGTTTGCCAGTCTATATACTTTAGCTGGTTCGTTTATTTCTTTGGAGGACTATGATGTAAATTTTTGCAGGATGGGAAAGGGAAACTATGCTTTGATACTATCAGAGTGAGACCTGAAAATACTGTACCCTGTGAAAAAAGATGAAAAACATTTGATTGCCATTTTGTAATGGCACTTTTGTTTGTTTTGTCTTTTTTTTTTTCAGAACTGAAATATTGGCCTTGCTTTTCCAGGTACTGCCAAAGGTGGAGATGAACCAGGGTTTTGTGAGCAGTGTGAACTGGGAACATTCACAGTAGGGGTGGGATCAGACAAATGTCAAAAATGTCCACAAGGAGAATATTGTCCTGTAAGCCATTACGTATTTCCTCTGTATTGTGTTCTTGCATATTTTTTGGACAAAGGGTTTTCAGTCATAACAGTTAATGTGCACTTAATTGTTAATATATTTACCACATATTTATGAATATGCATTGTCATGTATCAGAAAATCATTGCAAATAAGTTTTAATATTAATTTTAAAAATCTTCCTCCCAAGAAAAAATTGCTTGACTAAACCCTTAATGAGAAAAAAAGGCAAGAAGCTTTGTTCATTAACAAGAAAGAATCTTTATTACATACAGTTATAAAATCTAAAACGTAGTTTACAAATTTTTTTCTTACATGATGTATGTGACTTTTGTGTTCTCCGTTTACATTATTGAGGGCTTAGTAATGTCTTATCCAAGAATAAAATAATCTTATCAAAGTGGATTGTTAACCTGTGATCTTGTTGCACAAACTTATTTTCATTTCAGTGTCCAACCTGCCCTCCTCAAGTGTGCCCAAAAGATTATTATTGTCCATCTGGTTCCTTCAAACCATTAGCTTGCACGAATCCATTGTTTGTTGTTGCTGAAAACAAAGCAAGCTGTGTGGCTTCACAAGAGTTGTATGGCATTGGGGCTGGAGTCATTATAAGTAAGAAAATGACAGAATTTAATATGAGCATGCAGGCATGCATTAAAGCACGCACACAAAGAAAGTGATATATTTATGTACTTAGCATTATTAAAAACACACAGATCTATGCCAAACAAGTGCCTGTTAATCAAGGCCATTGATGCAGGACTACTAACATTACAATCATGTAAATGCTAACATTGGTACTGTTGGATGATGTCCAAGTGATAAGTTCCTCATATTGAACGACATCATTTAGCTCGCATCTTATCCACAACTCACACCTACACATACCATGCTGATCAGACACTTTCTGCTGCTCCATCCTTTACTGTCAAACATTATAACTCAAATAAGTCAATCCCCAATATGTCACAGTGATTCATGTTTTAGCACTCATGTTGACGACTTTTGATATGTACACAACATATCAAATATCATCAGCAGGAGTGCTTAGGCATGAAATTAAGTGATTGTAGCACAAAAATGGGTTGTGAAAACTAAAGGCAAATGGCTTTCTTACTTGAGCAAAAATGTTCATTAGCTTGATAGCCAGATCATAAATGAAAATTATCAAACACAAGCTAAAAAACCTTCATACCTTTAGCCTATGGCCAACCTGGATAAAGGCCTTCATAGGACTGATATGAGTAGATGTTGACACTCACTGACCACTAGGTGGTATATTGGCCAGGACCCACTTATAAATGTCAAGTAGATCAGCCCCTCTCCCTTTTCATGTATGCAAATTATATATATATATATATATATATATATATATATATACACACCGGTATATATATATATTATACTGTTCATTGATATTTATTTAAAGGTACAGCCATCATGTGTGTCTGCTTAAGCTGTTCTGGAAGCTGTGTACTGTTTTGTTGTGGAAGTAGTAATAACAGTTTTGTTCTCTAAAGTCACTTAAAACTTGCTGAACACACCCCTATCAGATTATTATTCTAAAAATTATGCAAATTTATGTTAATAATTTTTTTACTGAAATTGGCCATGATAGCATATTTAGGTGTTAGTTTGTAATAATGCTGTGTCTGGTAATATTTTTTGAATCCTAGCAATAATTGTAGTAGATTGTCCATCAAAGTGTGTTTGTGTTAAACTGTGGGGAAAAATAGGTATATTTTGTAATCAGTATAAATGAAGTTATTTTCATAATTGTGGAATATATTTACATGAATGGGTTCAGTTCTGAATTATTTGTCAAGCTCTATATCATTGTTTTTCATTTTGATAACGGTACAAGAAATGATGGCTGTGCAGGCATTTGATCTACAACATACATCAAAATAATGTCAAGGTCTTAAATGGTCTAAGTATCAAATCTTTTTTGTTTCAGTTGTTATAGTTGTGGTGGTATGTTTGAGCTACTATTTCTTCAGGAGAAGAGTACATGAAGGTTCGTCAGAAGAAACCACACCCCTGACCAGAAATCAAAGAAAAGAACCAGTTTATGAAGGATTTTGAAAACAGACCATTGAATACTATTTAAGAACACTGCAAAGTCAGAGATTGGTCAATTTCCCTCTTCATTTGTCAGAGGGACAGTGATAAAAAAAAGCACTTATGCAGTCTTAGGGGAAAAGGAAGTGTGCAAAAAGTAATGAAAAGAGTAGGAAAACTGAAGCAATGTAAACGTGTCTAATAAGACTGAGTGCAGAAGAAGTTTGTTGGTCTTAAATTTTGTTTGCCATGAATTGATGTGGTTGTGATATTGTTATTTTGTTACAGTTTTAGTGACTTATTCCAAGGATTAAATTATGTGGAATCTATGGTTATGTTTTTTGATTCACACATTCTTTGATTAAGAATGTTAAACAAAAATAGTGTTTTGTATGTAGTTTTGTTAAAGGTGTTTTTTAGTTCCACTTGATTAAGAACTGATACGATGGCATGTCTTGCTTTTAATCCATTTGATATCAGTAATATTTCACCTGAATTGAGTCCGTTTTACTAAGTGGACTGACGGTTTTCAAGCTTGCATATACCCTTAATTGTTTGAGATAAGAACACAGACTACTGATAAACATTTTGCTAAGTGACGTTTGAGCATATTCATTACAAGTGCCAACATTGACCGACTCTGCCAACTTATGTAAGTTTGAGGGCAAAACGTAACGTCTTGAAACAGAAGTCATCAGATAAATTCAAGGCTTCATCAGGGCTCATATTAATGTAGTTTGAAGTAACTGAAAATATTTATTTTCTTATGTTTTTTATATAAATGAAATTATGATTGTGTTTGAGAACTTTTTTCATGGTTGTTATTTATAAGTTATTTTCATGAGCTGGAGCATGTAACACAAAAGTGTTTCATGGCTAAGCAGTAACTTCAGGTAAAAAGTAAAGAAGGACAATAAAATGATTTTTATTTGTGAACATTCTGTAACCATGTACTTAATATTTATAGAATGTGTGCTTCTTTTTGAGTGTGCCTCAAACTTTGGATGAATGCCTGTGAAGCACAAGCATTGAGATAAAGGTAAAAACTGATAAAAATATTAGGCAAATAAGTTACTGTCTTTTTCACTCATTCTCAACAATATATTGTTGAATACTAGACTTTAATAATAATAATAATGATAATAATAATAAAACACTTCTTCAAAACCGCGCTACACATGCGTCTCAGCACTGTTTACATAAAAAATATAAACTCCACAGATAAATTAAAGCCAGTATAGACTAAAAACAGAAAACTTAAAAATTTTAAAAACTAAAAAGATGCTATAAATTAAAGTATTCTTAAATAAAAAAGTTTTTAAATTCTTCTTAAAACAGTAATATGAGTCATCCAGAGACACATTAGATCTTGTGATAAAATTAGACCATAAAATCGGTGCACAAATCTCGAAACTTCTGTGTCCATATGTCATAAGAGTCTTTTTAGTGTCTTTTCGCTTAAGTTGAAGTTGTCCACTAGATCGAAGTGATCTGATAGGAGTTAAAAGTTCTATGGTAGAGTTTAAGTAAAATGGACAGTCGCCCTTTAAAATCTTAAAAGTCAAAAGTAATATTTTAAAAACTATTCGTTGAGACACTGGTAGCCAGTGGAGGTTTCGCAGAATTGGTATGATGTGGTCGGACTTCTGAGCTTTACAGAGGAGACGAGCAGCAGAGTTCTGAATTGATTGTAGCTTTTCCATTTGATAGTTAGGTATTCCAAACAATAGGCTATTGCAATAATCCAGTCTAGATGTTACAAATGCATGGATGAGTAATTCAGTTTGCTTGGTGTTAATAAGGTGAAAGATCTTGGATATCCGTTGGAGACTAAAATATGCTGTTTTACATACTTTGTTAATGTGTGATGTCATTTCACATTTGTTATTAAAAATAACACCCAAGTTCCTTACTTCTGTTGTTGGTTTTATAAAAGAATCCCCAACTTTAATACTATCAAGTGCAGTATTGTCCTTGGAAAACTAGAGTTGAAATGGACTAATTCAGTTTTTTCATCATTAAAAACTAAGTAGTTGGACTTGAGCCAAGATCTAAGTTCATTCACACAAGCCTCAATAGTTGCTTTTTCATCACAAGGATTTTCACATACAACATATATATCTCTGGGAATCATCTGTATACAACATCAAATTGAAACCAAACTGAGCAACTATATCCTCAATTGGTGAGGTGTAGAGTGTAAACAGTATAGGACCAAGCACGGATCAATATTTTCTACAATCAATGCTGGAGGTAAAATATCAAGAATGGACGACGTTGGCTTTGCCTTCTTCACAAACTTCTTGACTGTATCCAATGAAACAGTAGTGAACTTATGGAAAGAGTATGGACACAAGCGATCAAGTGAAGCTGTAGATAAGGTTTTGTCTATACAGTTCCTGAGGTCAGTAACTTTCTTCTCATAGTAATTGAGAAAAATGTTACCAAGATCACTTTCAACATATAATGTAGGTTTAATGCTAGATGCTGCTTTCTTTGTGCCTGTAAGCTCATCCACAATTGAAAAAAGGCCATTGACATCAGAGTTATTGATGCGATTTGGATGATAAGATGATTTGATATCATCTGCTCTTCGACAGTATTCTAGACGTTTACCCTTGAATATCTGGTGATGTACTTCCAGACCACTGCTTTTCCACTGACGTTCAGCTTTCCTCACAGTTTTGCGTAGCTCAGAGAGCTCAAGACAAAACCATGGTGCTTTATAAATAATCTTCTTCTTCATGTGCCAGGTCTGTTGCAGACATCGGCGATCATGGCCTTCCATTCCTCTCTGTTGTCAGTTCTCCTGATGAGTTCATTGTTGGGGGATTCTTTCCTCATTGCGAAGCTATTCAGACTGTCTGTGTATTTTGTGCGTTGTCTTCCTCTGCTTTTGGTACCACAAATCTTTCCACACAGTATTTGCTTTTCTATTCCATCAGCTCTGATTATGTGCCCAAAAAATTGTAGTTGTCTTTTTCTGATGGTTCTGAGTAGGGATCTTTTGTACCCGGCCATTTCCATTACTTCTTCATTTGACTTCTTTTCAGTACATGATATTCTCATAATTCTTCTGATATACCACATTTCTGCTGCTTCAAGTCTTCTTTCGAGGTCTTTTGTTAGCGTCCAGCATTCGCATCCGTACAGAAGGATGGACCATATGTAGGCTTTCAGAGTGTTGATTTTGGTGCTGAGTCTTATATTTCTGTTGGTAAAGATGGGCTTCATCTTGGTGAATGTGTCTTTAGACAAAGCGATTCTCTTCTTTATTTCTGTGTCGCATCTGGCGTCTGGAGTTATTGTGAAGCCCAAGTATTTAAAGGTGCAAACTTGTTTTATTCTTTCCCCTTTGCATAAAATGTTACATACAGGCATGTCTGACTGTTTTGAGATTACCATGCACTCAGTCTTCTTTGAATTCAGTTGGAGTCCTTTGTTTTCGCTTTCGATTGTGACTGTTGTAAGGATGTTTTGTAGTTTTTCCTCCGAGTCAGCAATTAGCACTGTGTCATCCGCATATCTTAGATTGTTTTGTTGTGACCACCTACTTTGACACCTTCATGCTGCTCTATGTTCCGTAGAATCATTTCGCTGTAGATATTGAAGAGGTCTGGAGATAAAACGCAGCCCTGCCTCACTCCCCTACAGATTGGTCTGTACTCACTGTAACCATTATCAACTCTTATTGCAGCTTCTTGTTCCCAGTACAAGTTTCTGATCACTCTAAGATCTTTTCCATCACAGTTCTGTCTTAGTAAAATGTCGAACAGATCGGAATGTCTTACTTTGTCAAATGCCTTGGAATAGACAATGAAGCAGAGGTACAAGTCCTTTTGTACCTCAATCGCCCTTTCCATGAGGGTCCTCAGGGCAAAGATGGCATTTCTGGTACCTTTATCTGCCATAAATCCAAATTGGGTTTCAGATATCTCAGGTAGGATTTTATTTCTCATTCTGTTCATCAGCACTCGTAACATGACTTTTGTAAGGTGGCTCATAAGACTTATTGTGCGGTGCTGATCGCATTCAACTGTGCCTGGTTTTTTGGGTAGTGCAATGTACACAGACTTTTTGAGATCTGTTGGAATTTCACCTGTAGCATGGATAGTGTTGAGAAGTTTTGTTAATTCTTTGGTTCCAAACTCGCCTAGAGCGATTAGCATTTCGGATGGAATGTCATCGGGCCCTGCGGCCTTGCCCTTTTTCATCTTTTTAAGGGCCTTTTGAACTTCCTCCTCAAGAATGTGGGGGCCTTCATCTTCATTACTGATGATAGGTGGTGCGCCTCTGTCATTGTGATACAACTCTGTGATGTATTCTGACCACCTGTTGAGGATGTCCTCCTTTTCCATAAGAATGTCTCCATCTCTTGATCTTAGGCACCCTGTTTTTGCTGACATTTTTTTCCCTGTGACCTCTTTTATCTTTTGGTGCATAATTTTGCTATTTATTCCGGTGTTGGCTTCAATTTCCTCACACTGTGTGTTAATCCAATGTTCCTTTGCTTCATTGCACCTTTTTTTCACTCGTTTGTCTATTTCTCTGTGTTTTTGTTTGTCTGCTTTTGCTTTTCTTCTCTCTTCCATTAGGCCTAGAATTTCCAGTGTCATCCATTTTTTGTCTTCCTTTCTTTTTGTGACAGGAATGTGTTCTTTTGCAGATTCTAGCATGCTCTCTTTCATCATCTGCCACCTTTCTTCTGCCGTGGTCAATTGCTCTAGTGCACTGAATTTGTTTTTTACACTGATGCTATACTTATTCATCATTTCTTCGCTTTCTAATATGTTGATTTGTAGCTTTGGTGTTGTTTTTGCTCTCCTTAGCCGTTTTAGCTTAAGCTTCATTGTACCAACCACAGGCACATGGTCACTGCCACAATCTGCTCCAGGCATGGATTTGCATGATGTTATCGAGTTTCGAAAGCGTTCCTGAATTAGTATAAAGTCGATCTGATTTCGAGTTCTATCTCCTGGGCTTTTCCATGTCCAACATCTTCTTGGATGATTTTTGAACCAGGTGTTCATTACTGTAAGGTTGTGTTCTTTGCAAAATTCAGTGAGTCTGTCTCCCCTCTCATTTTTCTCTCCTATTCCAAATGGTCCTACAATATTTTCTGTTCTTTCACTCCCGACCTTTGAATTGAAGTCTCCCATTACAATCTTAATGTCCTGTGACTTCAGTTGTGTCATTGCTTTCTTGACCGTTTCGTAGAAGATTTCAACTTCTTCTTCGTCTTTGTCTGCAGTTGGTGCATATATTTGTATGAGGCCAATGTCAAAAGGTTTACCTTGGAGTTAACAATGATGACCCTGTCGCTGACCGTCCAGAAACCCTTGATGGCTTTAGAGGTTTCTGGGTCGAGTATCACACCAACTCCTCTGTAGTGATGTTCTCCTCCTGAGTAGATAATTTTGTAGCCGTCTGATGTTATACAGCCCGCTCCCTTCCATCTCATTTCAGAGAGTCCGAATATGTTGAGCTTCATCCTTTTCATTTCTTGTTTCACATTTTCCAATTTTCCTTTCTGTAGCATTGTTTGCACATTCCACGTTCCTATTTTCAGTTGTTGGCGGTTGCAGACAGTCGCTTGATGACGATCGGGTGACACCTGTCGCACATGATCCTCCCTACCGAGCGAGGAGTTTCCAGTTGAGCTCGAAACCCCTTTCAAGCTGTTGTCTGACTTCATTTTGGTTTTTCTTGCCATGATTTTCTTTGCAAAGATATACCTATAGTAGGTTGCAATTACTTTCTATAGGGGCAGTGCTCCTACTGAGCGGGTTGTCTTAGCCATTGTACTAGAAAGTATCATCTGCCTAACACATTGAAAATGCTGACCAGTTCCCAAACTATTTGGCTGCTCAACATTCCTCCATCACCTGCCTGCCGTGACTTCACGTACCCTGATCGGGGGGCTAAGTGGGTACTTGACCTTGCCCAAGGGTCTCCCACAGGCTAGTGGAGGGAAGGAGACGCCTTACTGTTCCTATTGGTGAAATTATTTCACCGCGCTACCCCATTATAAATAATATTAAACATTAATACATTTTTCAATGAATGAGGTAATACCTCTCAGGAATTTAAATATTTTCTTCTCTGAACATTATCATTATGTATTTTATTTTCACGTAAAGGCCGCATGATTGTTCACTTGTAACAGGGGAAATCTAAAAAAAAATATTATTCTAACTTTCAGTAGGTGGCCTTTGTGTATGCAACGTTTGTCAAAATTTAAGATAATTTTACAGCCTTACTCAGTTTTTATAAGCTTACTAATTAGCAATCACTTTATACCACTTGTTTTAAGTACACACTATAAAATGCATTTTCAGCTTTATTTTCAAAACATTTTACAATATTTTAACAATATAAAGGAGATGACAGCATCTGTCCATACTAAGAAATAGTAGAAAAGGGGAAGCTCTCCCAATGTTCCAGCTATTTAAATATCAACGGTAGTAAATTCTTTGCAATAAACTGAATCAAACAGTTTTGCATCAACATGACTCAGTGCACAGCCCATGATCAATATCATTTAGAAGACAAAATAATTTCTAATATGGATCTCACATTAGTTTTGAGATAATGATAAAAAACAATGATTCAATTAAAAAAAAAATGATACACTGGCCTGTTCCATGCATAGAACAAAGTGATCTTTATCTGCTCAGAATTATCATCATGTGCAGACTAAACAAATTTGATAACATGGTGAAAGAGGGGGGGGAAACGGGGCTGGTAGACAAAATTTTGTTTTTTAAGTATGTTTTTAAAAGAAGAATAGCAGCTAAATTTTAGAACTTGATCTAAACTTTGTATTGTGGGGAGGAAATATCAAATCCACAGTGTATGCAGCTTAAAAAACATAAAACAATTAACAACAGCTTTTTACTGGTATCAGTTCCAAAATTCCCCCACTTTATTAACCAAAACCCAATGATTTGCTTTTTTAATAAGTGAAAAAATCTAATTTTCTCAAATTTGGGATCAGTTGTGCTCTTTAACCATTTTATCAAAATTGTCAGACATAACCATCATTTTTCAGCCATAAGAGCTAAATTACAGTTTACTGTAGGTAACATGTTAAAGAGGCAGTCAGATGCAAGTTTTATATCACCTGTAACCAAAAACATAACCTACTCAATACAATTTTTGTTTTTTTCCTTTAAAACTTTTTTATATTGTTATTCAAAACTTAAACCTCAACCCCTATCACTACCCTCAATTTCAAAACATAATATAAATAATGTGGGGGTTTGTTTCCATACAGGACCAGGAAGGTGTTCAGAAGCCTTCTGGGTATGTGCCACCAGCAGGGCTAGGTACACCAGAGGAATAATATTACACAACAGTACCTAAAACAGTTAAATAATTTTGAATTTTAGGCATGTAATTGCTGACACACCCAGGAAAATGTATATATTGACCATTAATTCAAATATCATATGGAGAACACCAGTGGAAACGCCAGTTTCTCTGGAATTGAGTGTTTATCTTCACAATGCCGAACATGACATCAGCAATAACCATGCCAAAATAGGCACAAATGTTTATTCTCCAGTCTCCACAGACCAGCATAAGACCAGTTGTAACAACTGGGACTAGGATGTTTTACCAAAGTGACTTTTTCTCTGATGGCTGTGTGCCAAGTAAACAGAAGGTTGCCATGTGTGACAGACAATATATTCTCTATAATGTAAAACAAATTATCTTCATAAATTATATTCTTGTATTTGATATTTTTCTTTACATCTTTCTACATTGTTCTTATCTAATTCTGACCTACTTATCACATTGCATGGGAGCCACATAAAGGGAATCCCTAATTCAAATACTTTTGCTAGTTGATGAAACTTCAGCTGCTGATATGTTGTATTTGTACATATATTTACAAGTATTAAGGTATCTTTAATATCACAGTTAACAAACATGGACAAGATTTTGAACACATTGACTTTTTTATAATATAGATATTGTATGTATGTTACAGACTAATAAGATAAGAAAATATAACTCCAGGATCTTATATGCCATATTTACAACTCATAATTACTAAAAGGAAAAAAATTAATTGACAATTCTAGCCTAGGCTTAGCATTGCACAGCAATATATTTGGAATCTATATATCTATACAAATCAGCAGCTGAATAGTATAGGTATGCTGTCACCTCATACATTACCAAATACATTATACCTATCACCCTAACATTTAATTGTAATAGCACTCAAGNATGTGCCATAAACTTTTCAGCTTACTGGATATTTGAACTGCCAGTTTTTTAAAAACTACTAGTTCGAGTCAGGATTCACTGGTCTGAATAAAAACTCCTTTATCCCCAAATGCATTAATATAAGGAATAACAAAAAAATTGATTTTGCCATTTTTTTTAGAATCATCATGTGATAAATACAATTCAGAAGAAAAATCAAATCAAATCAAAAGCTCTTTTGTAAAATCATTTATAGACAAATTGCAATGTTGGACCACTAAATTCACCCTTTTTGAAAAATTAACTGGCTGAATGGGCTTCCTTGCTTAAAATTCCATGTTTACCAACATCCCCCCCCCCCCCAAAAAAAAAAATCTACATTATAGGGACCATTCAAGATAACCTTAAATGAGGCTGACTGCAGTGTGTGATGTCATGCAAGACTAGAATGAGTAAAATAAGAACAAATGAATGAAGCAGGGCTAATGTTTTAGGAGATATGAAGAAAACATTATGCCCAAGAACTCTGCCAAATGAGTTATAATCTACCGACACATAAAAACATACAAATCCTTCCAAACCACACTTAGTTTTATAATAACTCATGGGTCTTCTTGCTATCTGGGATGGTGCCTATTGTCAGTTGTTCTAATATGTAGTTGGCATAATTAACAACATAGGAGACAATTTATATATCTCACTTAGAATCTTTTGAGGACACACCAATTTCTGCATCTGTTACATTTACATAGTACCTAAAAAATTAAATATGTGCAATTCACCATTTTTATAACTTTTCACAATTTTACTATGTGCAACATTCAAGTGTAGATGTATGTATATAATTCAATAAATTAAACAACTAATTACACTGAAAATATTGTATAATTACATATTACATACATCAGCATCTTTCTACACCAAAACTAAATTTATAACACAGAAGACAACTTAAGCAGATAAAATTCCCTATAAAAACTAGAATGTCCTTACTTTTTCCAATGTTCCAAGTCTTCCTAAAGCCTTAATTTAGATCAAAACAAGTCTTCATCTTATCATCTGCAGTTCACACACATTATTACCGGAAGTACACATAAATAAGCACAAAAAAAGGAAAACTAAATGCTAGAAGTATGAAAAATATCATATTTTTGTGTCAAACTTTCTGATACTGAATTGAACTGCCTTCATAAATCACGTACATTTATATGAAACAAGTGACAATAATAAATTAACATCCACTGAACACTAACTTCACTGTTACTGTAGCAAGTCATTAAAACCTAGCTTGTTATTAATGGCAGTTTGTACAGTATGAACTAAGTTGGTGTTCTTGAAACTGTCAGGTTCCATGGGCTCAAACCAGAAGTGCAGTTTGATAAGCATACATAAGAAGCCCTTCCATTCTGATCTCAGTCACCCCAAAAGTATGAAAAAGATCCGAATACTTGATGATCATGGCATTATGTAGGACAAGCTGTTTCAGAAAGTTCTTAGGAAATATATGAAACCAAGGGTTCATTCATCGAAGGATTAATTCAATACTTCAGCCCACCCTTAGGATCTCCACGTTTCACTTTGTCTAGAACTGTGTTCACATAGTCTGCAGCATGACCAGCAATCATGTGGGCTATAATGAGAGGGATATATTAGTTTGGTCAGACAATTAACTTACAAAAAAAATGTAATCCAAGTCAGAAAAATATGCTTTTCTTAGTCAAGTTACAGAGCAACAGTTATTGAACACTTTTTAAAATAAATAATTTTTACTCATAAAATAATGAAAATACAAACACATTTATTCTTTGAATATCTTTACCTTTTGCATATTTCAAACTATAGCTGAACCATTTTAATATCTCACAAAATCATTTACTCTCATTGGACTTTCTGTAGTTTCCCTACTTTCAACAAAAGTAACTTCAAAACCATGTTCAAAACCATGTTCTATGTTTGAACGAAATAGAACTTACTCAGATTATCTCTGATTAGCTGATCCAAAGAGGATGCAACACTGAAGTTTGTGTAAGGATCCTTACATCTTGCTGTAATCACCTCCCGGAAATCATTGAGCACCTTCATTAGTTGCCCTGGAAGTATGACATTCTCAATTACCAGATGAAATATAACACCAAATCATCAAACAAGGGCATCTCCGACTATAATTTCAAAATAATTTAAGCACATAATCAATGTTTTATTATTTCAGAAAGACTGACATAGGTATGACAGGATTACTTTGGCTAATAAAAATCCAATTAGGTATAAATCTAGATGTTAATTGAAATGTTTCTAAATATATACTGTTATAAAGCCTCATCAAAACGTACTGTGCTCTTTATTCAATCCATAAAGTTTGACTTTATTAGCTTCATGCTGAGCTTTTTTCTTCAAACGACATGCCCTAAAATAAAAAAAGATGTAATTTCAAGATATGTTCACATTTCATTATTACCAAATACTGTAAGATGATCAAAACAATTTAATCTTGATATCAAATTAGCAAAAAAAAAAATGAAATAACGTGCTAAAATCTAATTATCAACTGATAAAAATATAATGCAATAACATTTTTGAGTACAAATGGTAATGTATTCTACTTTAAGAAAGACAAATTTTTTGGGAGATTTCAACTAAGAGACAAGCCACAAGCCTTAGATCTTTGAGCATGAATGCTCAAATTCAGACTTGAGCCACAAATTAAGTACCCCAGGGGGGAAATTTGTAGACACAAACACAGTGAGAGAGTGGTTGTGCGTTGTAATGCTTTGCTAGTGGCTACTAATTGTATGTGCGAGTACTCATTTTCCGCTCAAGTCCTCAATTTGGGCATCCTTGCTCACAAATCTGAGGCTCCAAGTCGCAAAAGCTTTGCCCGTTTATAGTGCCCGTTGAAAATAAAGGCAGTAAGTTCAAAAGCCTTATGTTACACATACCTGGATGCCAGCTTATTCTTCTCTCTACGTGATTTGGAACGCACATTTACCGGCAGCTCACTAACTGGTGTCATATCCCCAATGTGCTTGTTCAGCCTGTCAAGTTCATTGCCAATCTGATAAAGTTTCCTTGGATTTGGCACCACATCATTGCCATCTCCTTTTCTTGCTTTTCCACCATGTCTTATACCAAACACTGCCCTCTGGCCTGGGTCAAAAACTGGGTCTTCAAAGTCATTCAACACATGTGGGTCACTTTCGTCTAAGGGAACACAAAGACGCTGCCCTTTTGGGCCTTTTGATTGCACATTGTATTGCCAAAAGTAGGAGTTCCTCTTTGGTTGATTAAGGTATGAGTAGGCACTGTGTTCGTGGATCTGAGGACTGGAAACACTAGTGGGACCTGAAATGGCATAAAGTAAATTATAACATTTTTAGAACTAACCCTTCCAGATCATGTTAAGCTTAAATAATTTTAATTAGAGTAGAGGGATCCAAAGAATTTAACATAACACAACTATGTAAATTTGGAATTTTTTGCAAAAATTTGATTCAGGTTGTTGCTAGGTATCAGATATAGATATATTCCAAATATGCATCAATGTAAGCATCTTTGCATGCAAAACGGCATGTGCAATATGAGAATTATGAAGTCATATACTTTGAAATCTAATGTCTAGCTAGGCATTTTTTCAAATATGAAACTATCTGCAAAATTGAATTGACAGAAAAATCATAATTCCAATACATGGAGAGGCATGCCACGTACAGAACAACCTCATGGAGAGTCCTAAGGCTATGACTGGTGGCTATATATGCAAAATCAAATAAACCCATGTTTTGAGCAGGGAAAACAAGATTTCAAGCAACTATTGTGAAATGGAAAAAGATGAAGAAAACATTCAAGAAATGTGTGTGATTGAGAGCAATGTAACTGGCCAAATGCAGGTCATATGTCACTAGAATTTGAACTTACCATCATCTGTCGAGTACCCATCATTATCATCACTCTCATCATCACTTGTCATTTCTTCATCTTCACTCTTTTCCACCAATGAATAGTTCTCAGGATTCTCTATATATTATGATTCTAATTACATTATGCAAATGACTTGCATCACATTGCTCACAACTTTAAAACATACTAAGTGAAACTTGGTGGCACTTATTACTATTGTACAAAAAAAATGAACATGGAAATTTTTCAAGTCCGACAGTTTCTTCTGAAAATGTTAACAAAAATGCATGTAACTGAATGTGCTGTGTTAAAATAAACAAATATGAATAAATGTCGAAATATATCACAGATAACCATAAGACATAATACATTCATGAATGCAAAAAAATTACTGCTCACCATCTCCATCAAGCGGTTCTTCTTTCACAACAACATCCTCATCAATGAACTGCTTGATCTCCTCCCATTTTCGTTCCATGTTGTTATCAACACATTTGACTGGAATCTCACCAGAAGGTTGCTTTCTTTTTTCTGTGGAAATGTTACTTTTAGTGTTTTTTTGATCAAGGTTATGAGTGCCCCTTGTCAGCAATTGGTGCAGGGAACTTTTGGAATCTATGTCCCTGTCATTGCCGGCCGCAACACAATTTCCGCCATCCCCATAAATGGAGAATACTCCTGAATAGGTGAAATCAGTTCCACTAACATGAGATGACTGGGTTTTTTGTCCTGTGGGTTTTTCAACGGTAGCAGGGAAATTTGGGCAATAATTGTCAGAAGATCTAGAAGCTGTGTTTGCAAGCTTCAGAGTTCCTACTTGACTCCTCTGCATTGGATTGCAGGCCATTTTCTCACCTTCCACTTTAATCAGATTTTCCAATGTGCTCTCAAACATTTCCCCTTGATCATCAGCAGATGGACTGTTCAGTGCTGCAAGAGTTGGTCCTTGTATCACATCATTTTTATCCACCTGGAACACGTCTTCCATCTTCAGAAGCCCAGCATTATTAGTTGTCCACTTGCACAGAGAATCCTCATCCATATCCTCAGTCATTGGGAGATCCTCAAGCATGGCTCCAAGATTATTGTCACCATTTTCAAACTCGGGTTTGAGATCAAATACATCATCAAATCTGTAAGCTGTATCATAGTTCAGCATAGCTCTACAAGGACTCAGTGTGTTCTGCATGTCACACCTTTCTTGGTCGTACATATGCAGTGAGTTTGGACTAGAAGCAAATGCAGTATTCCCAGAATATGAATCATAAGTTAACTGTGGCACAATTCCATGGCATTCTGGACTATATGGGCCCCTTTCAGAGATCATTTCTCCCACTGTTCCACCCCCTGGATTTGGTTGCTACAAAACAATCAAGACAGGTGCTAATTTACAATACATCAATAATTTACAATTCACGCACAACTCTAAAATTGCAATTGACATTACATGCTGCAAAAGTTTAATATTAATCTAATTAGGGCCGTTCTCCAGCTTCCTCAACTAATTTAATTGGTGCAAGGCTTTTGAGGTTAGTGGGCTGGTGAGTTAAAAGAAATACCCAAGTTTTGATAAAATAGGCTTATTTCAGCAGTGCTACAATCATTTAATAAACAAATTGCATGTGTTCATTCCTCAACTAATGTAACTCAAGAATGGCATACGTTTAAATGTTTCCGTTTTGGCAATATGACAGAATATCATTTATTCAAAATTGACAATAACAATAACATAACACAAATATTCTGAACTTGAATTGCATACCAAATATTTAGAAGAGAAATTTTTAGTATTTGTTACAGGTGTCCTATGGTGAATCAATTTGCTTCTGTTGACCAGCAACCACTGGACTTGAAATCCAAAAATCCCATATCACACAAAAGCACATGCCTTCATATCTATGGGTACTTACCCCAATCATGCTTGGCTTGTACTGGTCAACAGTCATGGAACTGATAGCACAAATGTCACCTTGAAAACCACTGTCCTTATTTGCCAATGTGATAGACTTTTATGCTCGTATGAAAAGGATTATTTGCAATATGTTCCAAGTCACCTGAAATCATGGACGTATAAACTGTGGGAATAAGTCTAGACTCAAGTAAAATGACTTAATGGTAACTTTGGATTTTTCATGCAAAAACTGTTGCAAAACATACATTATGTGGAACTCTTCACTTCACTTGACTTGACTGTCATATGTAACCATCCCCCCACCCCCAACAGTACTATTAACACAAAACAAAAGATTTAAATCTCAATTAAAGGAAACAACAAGAGATTTACTGTTAGAGAGGAGGGGGAAAATAGTTTACATTAGAAGACTCCTAGCACAATGACTTTTTTCTCTAGTGATTTTCTCCTTTTACATACATTATCTAACAGTGATAACTGCTAAAAGATACCCAATACATAGTTTACAAAATGTAACATGACTGGTAACACTAAGTCTTCAATAGAAACAAACTGAACTGTTATATTCCTGATCTTCTAATTGTATCATCTCAAATTAATATCCCTAATAACAAGTAAAGCAAAAATATTTTTCCACATTGAATGTGCATTATTGTCTCAAATTCACTTAAATCAAACTGTGAGCCGAGCCACAAGACTGTAAAGGAACAGGTAAATGTCAACAGGCCCGTAGCCAGGGTGGGTTCGGGGGGTTCAAAAGAACTGCCCCTTTTGCTGGGAAAAGGTCCACTCTGGGTAAAATTTGTTCTAGGTACATGAAGGTTTTATGGGAAAAGGTCCACTTTTTTCAGAAAAAGAACCCCCCTTTTGAAATTGCTGGCTACGGGCCTATGTCAAGGATATATATCCCATCATGGATTTCAGGCTAAGAAAACACCTTCATTAAAATAAAAATGGTTGTTATGATACTATCAAATTATGTTCATGGACTTTCATCATCTTTAAATTAAATATCGTCATTTTGCTGATGACGTTATCAGCAGTTTGGGAGTAAGAGTATTGTTTTTGGTTTATTGATTTTCTCTATTACCTTGGCTCAGAAAAATTCCAATGGTTATCAGGGGTTGGGCATGTGTACTACAAAGGGGTTCCATGATTTACAATAACTTTATTTAGATTTTACCACTAAAAACATAAAATTTTGTCACTAAAAAACATAAAATAGTGGTTTTTAGTTTCATGGACTATCATAATTACCAACTAGCAGCTTACGTAGGTGTGCCAGGCACTAAATTTATGTATGTGGTATAATCTTTTAGTCTTATCATCTGGACATCCACATAATACAAAATTGCAGTAATCCAGCCTAGAAGTGACTAAATCTATAAATAACGGTAGAAACAGATGATTGATTCAACTATCTTCTTCAAGTGTAAACCTTTCAAATCTTGAATGAACAAGACTTGGTGATATTAAAGCAATAATAACTCTTCGTTTCGGCCAAAAAATGAATTTTCCTGGAGTAAACAACAATTTTCCCATACTTACCAATGGTTAATGAATCCATTTTTACATTCAAAGTTAGTCCCTGGTTTTTTTCTAAAAAGTTTGGTTTTTTGTTAAAATCTCTTAAGAGATTTTAACAGAGTATAGACATCAATGGAGGTCACGTGGTCTAAAGACAAGTTCAAATATCAGAATAAAAGCTATAACTACTGTTTTTGAGAATATATTATATTTCTATGAGTTATTCACAAGGTTTTTATAGTGAAATATAGATCTCATACGAAGAGTTATTATCCCTTTAAAGTGAAAGTTTTGATTCATTGTGGTCCAGTTATATTGAGAAAAATGAATCTAATACCGAATCTTATGTTGAACTGGAGATCACAACCTTATTGCAAGATTTTATTTGGGTGAACCAATTTCAAATTGTCATGTTATGGTAGGCTAGTGTGATACTATGCAGTCTATTTCCGTGGTTTTTAGTTTCACTGACTGATCAAGTCTACAGCCAAGATCGAGTACAGCAAATCAGGCATTCAAAGTCAGAGCAATTAACTGCCTTGATTGCAGTAAGAGGGATGTGAAAAGGGCTTGTTAAGTGGCAGTGCCTGAGTAGTTAAGTAAATAATTACCAGCCCTGTAATTATCCTTGAGAGTTCATGACAGAGTCACAGTCTAAAAAATGCCCTGTGAATTAGCCAGAGACAAATCAGTGAACATCTAGTTGAAGAATCAATCTGTGCCCCTAGTAGAGGGTAGGTATTCACTAACAATGCTGGATCTTGAATATTAAAAAATGTACACAAATTGGTATAATCTGCATAATTGTAATAGCCTACAGTATCTTATGATAACAGAATTGACCAAGGAGTCTTGCCCTACCATGTTTATTAAAAGGCAAAACATATATGACACCATCTTTGGAATTTGTCAAAATAACACTTTTGATAAAACCGAAGAAATTCAAGGCAGGGTTAGTGATCCATTAGCGATTATCAATTTGTGAATTGAAATATTTTCTCTTTCATGGGCAAATGCATGACAAACCAATACATGTAGTTGTATGTTGGCAACATTGCAATCTATCATGTATGACAGCCAAAACCAAGTACATTTCTACTGAATTTAAATCTTACAGCATTTGAACAATTAGCACTTTTAAAATAACTAGTCAGATGTGTGACTGCGCTTTGCTTATTACCTGTCACTATGTAAATAGAATACAAAAACAATTATGTGGACCAAAAATTTCATGAGTGACACGACTCTCTCACCTTCAAAACAGTGTAAGCTACAAACGATGAGATACCAGTGGAGAAATTTTGAGTCTTGTAGATAAGGAATTCAATGAAGAACTTAGTGATGGACAGTAAAGAAAAGAGACAAAATAATATCATGTCACACATCCGAGTATGGATTCTTTTCATACTTCTCTAGATTCAGGTCACTGTTACACGTAAACATCCTTATTGACTCCAAAACAGATATGTATGCAGTTAGTTGAAGGTCACACGGATGTCAAGGTTAATTCTCAATCCAACTGCCCTGCATGGTTGCAAACCAACCTTTGACAAATTCATGAAAGTCAACAGGTATTTCTTATAATGCTACTGACAAAACTGAACAGCAAAAATTTGTCGAGTCAGCAGTCATGAGGCTATTGCTCATCAACAGGCAACAGAAAAATACCCCATCATCCTACCTCTCGCAAACACCGTTTTGCATAAAAATAACATCTTAAAAAATCTAAAGACTTACCGATTAAATCTTCTGCACCTACCGAATCAAATATTTATAAAATTGAACCTCTTATTGGCGTTGTAACTGCAAAAATGGCACAAGCTTTCTGGAATTCATATGCTACTTTCAGCTCCTTCTCTCGATTTTGTTGTTTTGATTCTGTCAACTGGTTTAGACCAGCCTTTTGACGAATGGTAACGTGACCTCTAACCAATCACAGCGCGTGCAGTTCCCGAAAGCCCCGCCTCCTGTTTACGTGAATGCAGCCCTTATTTTAAGATCTTTCTAGAAAGGTCTAGTTTGCCCACTTAAGTTAAAAAATTTTCCATCATTGAGACAGTGTGAGTCATAAATGTTATGGATTGTTGATCTTGGTCTTTGCATATTATATTAAGCGTTCAATTTGACATAACCTGAGGTAATATCAAGTGTTATTGGACTAGGAAAGGGGCGGAGGAAGGGGGTGCTTAAAATAACCTTGACGTAATTTTCTGTTTAAAGAAAACACCGTGCTCACGTTTCAGGTCAAAGATGTTGCCAAACAAATGGAAAAAATGATGCAATTATCAATAGGGTTAACTCGTATATTTGATGCCTCGGTTGTTACCCAATTAAGAAAATTTGATTATATTAGAGAAGATAATTGTCCCTATAGCAAAAATATTTTAACTTAAAAAGCCCTACACGCGTTTGCTAGTGGCATACATTCCGTCTTCGTCATTCTGAACTGTTATCCGATACTTATTTCAACTTTATCAAACTCTGGTCCTTTTTTAAAATGACTTCAAGTTGTAGGGGCAGCAGATTTGAAATATAATTGCCATACTGTAAGAAAGTGTGAGGTATCAATGTTTGAAAGTTAAAATCTTATGAAAAGGTTTTTGCTCCACACATACTAGCAAGCTTTGAATCAAGCTATTTATAGCCTACATCAAATTTTCACAAAATTTTTGAAAATGTTTGACAAAGACCATAAACATTTTTTCTGTACAGATAACAACTGAACAAGAAACAAGATCTACTATTAAAGAACATTTACTAGTACCATATCTTTATTATTCTCCTTATTTAATTTTTCTTATTCAAAATACTGTAGAACACTCCATCTAAATAATATTTTGGTGAAAAATACACACAAAAAATAAATTGCTATCCATAAAAATACAATAAATCATGTGAATAAATTATCAAATATGAATAGTATCAGTCAAAATATAAATGAATTTACTGGTGCAACAATTTAAAGAGGAAGATGAAAAGACTTATTACATTGTACACTATGAATGTCTAAACTTCTTTAACAAATGCTTTAAATTATGCTCCAGGTCTTATTTTATTATCCAATGTAAAAAAGTAAAGGCAGGAACCTTCAGATAACTGAGACCACATTAAAGTAGAAATATTGTCATATATATATATGCACATGTAATGTATTCAGTCTGTTTTGGTTAAAGTTATCTGCACTTGTCGAAATGATTATGAAACTATTTCACATATAAAGACAGTATATTTTCAGCCAATAAATTTTATTGGATAAAATGAAAATATTCTTGTCAGTCTTACAATCAAAGTTAAATTTTCAATTGCCATCATTGTGGGAGTTGACAAATAATATGAAATATAAATTAGGGTAAATGCTCCTGATTTTTATTTTTTATTTTTTAAATTTATTGAGAACTATAGAGGGCTATTGAGGACTATAGAGGGTTTAAAAAAAGCGTACACTTAGTCTGAGGAGAGGAGCTTTTCCATTCTAAAAGCAATTGTGGTAAATGGTCTTACACCTCGAAGAGGGTAACAAAAAGACCCCAACATTACACTGTTAAACCATGATGCGAACTAGATGTTGCCATGACTGATACCATATCTGAATGGCATGATAGAACCATATACAATATAATTTCAAAATGCACAATTAACATGGCTGGTAACATATATTCTGTTAAAGAAAAATGTGACTAGAATCAATATTTTAATTAAATTTACTAGTCAATTTTTGCACCAAGTGCTCAATAAAATTTGCTGAGAATGTACTTTCTTTTCTTGTAACCAGGATTTGAATAAAGATTCCATTTTACGTCTACTAGTAGGATTTCCATTGTTTACAGTTGGCAGTATCTGGTCAGGTTGGAGAGCTTGGACAAAGTTCTTCAGTTCTGTGTAACTACTGTGCTCACTGTAAGGCACACCTGAGAAATGATATCCAACAGCAAAATAGTTTCAGATTGGAAATCAATGTTATATATGCAAGTGACACATGTAGATGTGTGCTTATGCTTGGAACAAAAGATAAATAGTTTTATGTCATGACTTCTTTTATTTTGATTTGAGATAACTATCAATGCACCATGAAGAATTTGGGAAATAAGAATTTCAATTTAATTTACTAAGTAGGCTTCAAAGAATGCTTCTTACCATATATTGTTATACCTTTCTTCTTCACTTTTGGTTTGATATTATTCAGTGATAGGGTCTTTCCTGAATGAGTCCATCCAGTGGGTTCTAATGCTAAAATGTTATCAAACTGTCCTTTAAAACTTCTCAGATGTTCTTGGAGGGTCTGAAAGCAAAAAGAAAAAAAAGGCAGCAAAGCTGTCAAATGTACAGACAAAAAACAGGAAATAACTATGCACAAAATAGGCTACTGTCAATTCTGATGCAAAATTTTAATGACTGAATCTGACAAACTGCAATGATATGAGTTTATTTCCATTTTTGAAACTTTATTACACAATACACGATAACAAGTTTACCATCATTTTTACATAATCAACTAATAATGTTGTAAAGATGCAGGAAATGCCANTAGAAAATAGACATTGCATGTGAACGAAGCCATAATGATACTACAATGTTAAATAAAAAAATACATACATCCAACTTCAGTTTGCCCATAGGTAATACATGCACTTTTGCCTCTGTCCATTTTGTTGTGAGCATACCATCTAGTTTATTATCATCAAGACACTGTAAGATTCTGTACTTTTCTCTTGTCACACAGACCCTGCTCTGAATAGCTTCTGCAATTGCTACAATGTAATGCAGTTAATCGATGTTATGATTTCTCTTGACACAAACAAGAATTTATTAAATTAAGAAGCATAATAAGAAGTGTCTTCTTCATGCTGTCAATGTGGTAACATATACTGTGCATTTAATTTCCAATAAACTTCCATCTGATTCATCAGGTTTTAATTTATTAATCCTAAGCCAGATGCCTATACAATGCTTTTAATTTATCAATTCATACCTATAAAGATCCTTTCTTTTCCTATTGTGTATGTGCCACAGACAATCAAACTGTTAGGGTGTTCACATATATGTTTCCCTGCCAAGGACACAGCAAAACTGACCACATCTTGCTGAGGTGGAAATGCATAGGAAGGATCACAGTAACTGAAAGTATTCAAATAAAGTATGTCACATTATGAAATTAAAAAAAAAAAAGTAAAAAAGATCAATGTACATGTAGTTAAAAATATTACACAACAAAATAAATATATACACACAGAAGTTATGTACAAATAAAAGGGTGGTGCTCCTAGGGTTACAATAACACTTGCTTCACAGTCACCACCTAACACTATACCAACTACCAAGCAAACTGAAAACCCATGTGTTTGAGTTGGTATAACTTACGTTGTATCCAAATATAACTGGTGAATCTTTCTCCCCTTGAGGGCAGGATGCTCCACCATTGAGGGGTCTGCTCTAAAATCTCCAGTGTGCAAAATTGCCCTACCATTTGGAAGTTCAAAGAAAAACAACACAGCACCTGGGCAACTAAGAGAGACATTTTTGGTAATTAAATAACATATAAGTATATACATATATTATAGGAAATTTCCATTTTAACCTCAAGAAATCCCATTTTCAAGCACAGCATCAGTTGCACATTTGGCACATTTAGAGGGCATTTTGTTAGAAAGTTTTACTTAGGAGAAAAGATAATATCTACTGAGTTTATCAGTTTTTTATGAATCATTATGAAGGGTTGATTAAATGAATCATTTGAACACGTAGATACCTTAATGAACGGATTTCCATAGTGTACAATATGAGAAATGCACCATTTCCCTACTGATAAATACACATCCTGGACATACACAAGCAGTCAAAATTTTCTAAATTAGTATTTTAAAATATGTGTCAATGCGTCACTCTACAAATATTCAAAATAGTTTTATTTCACTGAGCAATACAAACAAGCTCTTTTTCCAATAACTGTGGACATTGTATCACTGAAAAGGAGAAAGAGCTCTTTATGTTAACAAATAAGTCAGTAAGGAAGCCTTACTGGTTTGCCTCCATTAGAGTGACCTGAACTCCATGCACATGGCATGGCCTGTCAGTTGGCAAGGAAATAAGGTACTTGTCTTCCACCCGAATCTGTTTTTTAACCAAGTTTGAAGTGACCTGAAGCAAACAAGTTAACAATAATAGATTTTTGTGTTTCAAATACTGTATGACAACCATTCTTGTTCTAGTCACATTTTTTTTCAAAAAAAAAATTTACAAACTTTCAAGTCTTAATAAATTTTTGCAATATTATGTTGATTCCCTGGGTAGAAAAGCAATAAAACAAATATAATGAAAACTCAGGGTTGTGTCACTTTAGGGCACAGAAGTGAGATTTGAAGTTTGGAGGTGTCCAATATTGTAATATTGCACATAAGGTGGTCTTATCAACAAGCTACATCTGTCAACATGGTTTTCTGCTTTGTTTTTGGGTACAGTCACCAAAGTAGCAAATGGAAAAGACCATTTTGGTAGATTTTGCCAATAGAGGCTGTCCTTGGAAGTTGTGCAATATTTGGGGTATTACTGCACACATGCAAAAGAGACTTTGATGCCCTAGTACTGGTAGTACTGGATAATCCACAACATCTGAAAAATGTTAAACAAACCTGACTACAATATATCGGCTGCTTGAAGTGTTTACTGAGCCCTCTGTAATGGTCAAAGTGGAAGTGGGAAAGAAAATATGCAGAGCAGCCAGGCACCACCCCATAGCAGAAAGCATCCACTGTAAATGATGTGCCTGAAATAAAATGGATTATTCAATAAACATAAGAATAGTTAATTTATACGCACAGGCAACAAAAAAATCACAATTCAAATAATAAATCAAAAAAAAAAAAAATATATATATATATATATATATATATATACATATATATATATGTATATATATATACATATATATATATATATATATATGTATATATATATACATATATATATATATATATATTACAATCCATTTTCAAGCTGCATTTGCATGAGCGTGTAATGTATTGTAACTGCTACCCATGTATAACAGTATGTGCTTGATAAAAATGTATTCAATAAAAGAACCTGGGATTTTCTTGTAAAATGGGCAAGTTGTCTTCCATCTGCCTTTTGCTATGGGTGCCACACTTCCATTTTCTTCAACTCTTTCTTTATTACTCTTATCACTTCTGGCTCCAAGAAAATGTCTCTGAAGCCTTTGGGTCTGTTGTTCAGACACTGCATCCTTTGGCTTTGCAGTCTTACTTGCTGCACTGGCGGAATTGTATTTAACTTGTTTTCTTATTTCGTCAGAAGGCTTGAAAAAGCTGTAAATAGATGTTTGTTTGGTTTGCATTACATCTTGTGTGAACTTCTGTCCTTTACATTCAACTAGTGCACCTTCTGTAGTTTGCAAAGTACTGATGTTCTGCGTATCAGCACTATTTCTGCCCCCAGTATGCTGGGTGCTATCTGCACTTATAGGAATGTCAGATGATTCTATACAGTTTTCATCAATATCCAAAGCCCATGGTTGTTCATCTGTGAAGAGTTTTTCGATTTCACTATTAGGAAACACGGTATCTACAGAAAAACCCTTTGATGGTGTATTCACTGGTGATACATCATTTAATCTTTCTGAACCATCTCGTGAACAATTCTGTTTTTTGAAGATTGTTTCTTGAGATAACATGTCTTCAACTTTGTTTCTGATTTCAGCACTAGTGTCATTTTTTTCATCAAATATGTCTTCGTCGCTCATGTAATCAATGTCAGCTATTGTGGGATCATTTGGTTCTATTTTCCCTGGCATCTTAATGTCTTCCTCTGCAGGTAAATATTTTTCCACAAAATGGTAAAGGCTTTTCTTTTTCTTCATCACATTTAAAATAATGAGGCTCCAATTGTGCTCTTTCAAACAGCTTTCTGGAAGACGCTGACGATTCTCCTGAAATGACATGTCATTTGCATTAATATTACAAATCTTTATGAATTCATATTTGGTCCATTTCACACTTAATTCAAAGTGTTCTGACTGTTTGTTAATTTTAAGATATGACATATAAGCCTTAACAGAATCTACCAATATGGATAATCTTTACTTTTTCTTAGATATGTTAGATTTCTATATTTCCAAATGTGAAAGCAAATAGGTTTATAACCACTTCACGCCCCAATCCCCTCATGAGCAATATACACACTAATGGTTTCAAATCCATTCTGCTGTTCAGTGGGAAAACTTGTCAGTTGTCCACAATCTCTTGACAAAGCCAAAGCTGTGTGTCTAAACTTGTGGTAATGACTTGGAATGGTTACATCACAGTAAATTCCCTCAGCACATTCTGAAATTTCAATCAAACAACATATTCAATTTTAATCAAAAGCAGCAGTGCTTTTACACATTTCATTCTTAAGGTCGAAAATTCCAAAAACTAAAATGCTCCCCAAATGCATGAATAAACTACTGGGGGTATAAGTAATGGCATTCTTTAATATATAACAGAACTCCTTTCTAAAATAGGACAGCAGGACCAGTCTAAAAGGAGCTGCAAGTATTTAAAGTACAAACAGAAGCATCTGCAATTTGATAAGAATAAAATGTGATACATGTACCTACTCTTCATTGCATTCTAATTAATTACAATGGCGGTTGTAATTAAAAAGAAGAATCAGGTTCATGTTTCTCCCTAATCATCTTCATATTAACTGTACCTGGTTTGTCTTCTAGGGCTGCAACTATGTTGGAACATTCAGTAACATGCCAGTTTGGAGACTGGATAAGAAGCAATGAAAATGGCATTTGGCAGAGAGGGCAAAATCCTTCATATATCTTTCTTGGTTTAGTTGGTGTACATTTACCTAAAATAAAGTTTCCTTTTTGAGTTTTCTAATGAAACACCATTGAAAACAGATGAAAAAAATTCTTTAATAACTTACACACTAAAATGCAATGTAAATTTGTAATATCATAACTATCAAAATGTTTTTGATTAATCTTTTAAGTGTACTTCAGGTGACATCATACCCAAGTTTGAGTTTGAAAATTCTTTACAAATAAATCAATATAAAAAAATGATCTGCAAACTTTGTTCAGAACTACATCAAACTTTTACAAGAACCAAAACACACCAAAAAACCCAAAGAGGGCCTTTAAGTCAAACCTATAATGGCATAATTTACAAAGGATCATGCTAAAAATGAGCAACATATACAAGGTACATGCACCACTTCCATAAAAACCACTAGATCATCTGACATTTATGAATGTAGATGTCATTTTTATTTTTTTTTACTATTATACACATCGCAAAGCAGTGAGAATCAAAAATGGACCCCATTTGTGACTTGCATCAGTTTCTGGAATTACTGATACATGTACTGATACATGTACTGATACATGTACTTACAACGGGTATGACATTTAAAATTAAATTTTGTATCCTATTCCAGAGGGTGCAACAGGTAAGGCCTCATTCTACCCTGTATTACAAACTCTCAAGGCTATAAATATCCACATCCTAGCAAAACTGTGCATCCTTTGTAACACTTTGTAGTATATCATTCACATCTTATAACCTTTTGTTGCACTTCACAAGCCAGTTTGATAATGTTTAAGCCTTTCCTTCCACCTGTCTTGTTTGAAGTCTAATTAAGCCACTTACACAGCATTTGTGACATCACATAAGGTCTCAAGTGTTTGTAACATAGGGTGGAATGATGACTTACCTTTATAGTACTTAAAGCCAAAAACTGAGGTAACTTTCTGACACTTTCCAGGGTTATGGTGTTATTAACACTGTTAATAGGACCATTCATTAAAATTATCAACTACAAAGTAAGCTTTAAGGAAATGCAGAATTTATGTGTTAACTGTATATCATACAAAATAACACACTTGTTATTTGAGAAGGCATATTTCAAAAGGTATGAAATTGTTTGAAATATACTGACAAGTAACAAATCAAATTTACTCTTATTGTTCTGTGATCCTGAGTGCAAAGCGGAGTCGGTAGACTGTGTGGATGAAATATTATCAGGTTCAATTTTTGTGGTAACTTGGCCATTGGTCAAGCACTGGTCGGTTTTTCCCATGGAGGGCAATGAAGACTCTGGCTCTGATGAAGGTTCCTGTTTGGCAATCTTGCGATTTCGCCTTTGACTCTTTCGAGTGAGGCTCATAGGTTTTCTTTTCATCTCATTTTCAATCAAACTTGGTCGAACAGGTGCACCTCCATCTTTAGAGCTTTTTGGTCTCTTTCTCGTTGATTCACTTTTCTTAAAACGTTTGAGAGAACTGTACTCCCAAATATCATCATCACTGTCTTCTTTCATTTTACTTATCTGCATTCCCCGCGAACGTTAAAGTTCATTTGGATCTCCGGGCAAAGAAGAGTACTTCCGTTGCACAAAATGGCCCGCAGGTATTGACGGTGATGGGTAATTAAATAAGAGAAAAAGTTCTAGGGGAAATGTGCATGCAAAGTTAATTATGGCATCCTTTTAGTCCATTTCTCTTTTGCTATATAAGGCGTTATTTTGTTATCGCCTGCATTATTTAATAAAAGTAAGTATTGTATGAATATCAACCGTAGTAGATAGTAGATAAAGAATTATGGGTACTTTTGTAGTATACCCCCCCACCCTGTAACTTTCTGTAACTTTCACTTTTCAAACAGTTTTTTACATTTTCTTGTTCATCTATGTCAATGCTGTTGAAATAAAATGCTTTTGTAATTACCTGCGGATTTTTTATTGGTTTTAATCACGTTTAAACCAGCCCATTGAAATACAATGTTAGAATCTTCAATTTTCACCCGCAGTCAATAACTTGCCGCGTTTTCNAAAGTAAGGACAGCACATCTTTCTTTACATGAAATTGTCTATAATAGCAAATGTTGATTAATATTTATTGTATCAGTAACAATTACTGACGCTGCATTAATTGGTGACCCGCTTATTTTTTTCAGCTGAAAATTGCGACAACATGCAGCCAACTAAGAAGCGCCGTACTGATTCACCAGCAGATTACGTCAGTTACCTGAAAGACAAGCTGGCCTTCGAGAAAGAACACTTTGAATTAGAAAAGAAAGAGCGAGAAGCTAAAATTAAGAAAGACAAACAAATGATTAAGATGGTTATGTCTTTGGTTAAGAAGAAAAACTGCTGCCTACAAGATACACATGGGCTGAATCTTTGTTAAAACATTAGTTTTTTTATTCAAGATTTCACTTAAATAAATGTTTGCTTGCGGTATGAATTTTACATTTTACTCTTTAATTTTCCATACGCACAATGTACACGTGTACAGTTCATGCTAAATAGTCCACCAAGGTGGGAGGATCTAGTTAAAAGTACCGACTCATCTGATTGCCATACACACAGGTATGGCAGTTGGCCAGAAGACCACCTACCAAGTACTGCTTGGCTACAGGAGACAACAGTACTTTTTAATTCTTTCGAAAGTCCAGGAAGGCAAAGTTTCACAATAAAAGTTTCCGAACTCCCACTCGACGCATTCCCGCACAGGGGACATTCTCCTGTTGAATTATTCCTCTTCGGTACTCATATTTGCCCCTCTGAAGGGACTCAACAGATACCTTTTAACGGGGTAAGCCGGATCTCCATGAACTGCGTATGGAAGACCATTCCAAAATTACCTAACCTGTCCAATGGCGTATGACCTAATTTAACGTCTCTGCATAAGACTCGGTCACAATCGGCCGTACGGGCTCTTACAGGCTGTTTGCGTCCAAATTTTGCGCAGAATCTCACGTCCCACGCAAGGCCTTCTTACGCAATTTCGAGCTCGCAGACAGCCCGTAAGCACGTACGGAGGATGTTGGACATGTCCAAAAGTTTCTACGAATAGCCTGCGAACAGCGAGACCGCAAGCGTAACTTGCTCACCTCGCACGGAGTTAGCAAGAGAGACGCGCGTTGTGGAAGACGCACGTCGCAAGCAATGAAGGAGTAAGTGCCCTTTGCGTGTTGAGTAAGGCGCACGCCCTCACAACTAACGAACAAAGTCGAGAGCCTACCGGGAATGCGTCGCACGTGCGTCACCCCCACGCCTGGTGTATAAAAGGCGTGCTCACGACGAACGCTTGCGTCTTTACAATTAACATCGACTATGTAACGTGTACAGCAATTTTCAAAATTTTCATATTTTTGCTCAATTTAGTTTCTAATATGTCTCCAAAAGGCAAGAGAAAGAAGCTTACATATTAGAAAAAAGGGAGAAGGAAGAAGAAAGAAGAGGAGAACAGGAACCAAAACTGACGTACGCCGTCAGTACGTCACCACAAACGTGAAGCAAAACTGACGCAAAAGGGCACTACTTTCGCCGCGCATTGCATTCCCTTCGTAAGTGGTGAGTGTGTGCCACGTACACAGGAAGCAAGACAAACTCAAAAAATGAGTACAATTTCCACGACCATCGCTCCTTGCAATTAGCGTCCCTGCCTGAAAGGACATCTTATGTGGCCCTTGCGACTCGCAAGGCAGACTTTCCTATACCTCTACGACCTCCACGGCCTCCGCAACACCCAAAAATCGCAGGGGTCGTACGATCCTGAAATTCGTGCGTCCGGTTGTGACCGAGGCTTTACAGCACGTAAAACATGTATCAGCCTACTCAGCTATTGTACAATCCGACTATCCGTAAAGGCTAACCGGGTCTTTCTGCGAAATCACGAAAAAATAAACGATGGTCATTTTACGGTTACGGATAGCTAAATGTAGTCGGTCGCCTAAACGTGCAGGTGCGAAAGCTCTCTAATATACGACTTGCATTATTCGAAAGGTGCGATGTGCGCATGACCGGAATTGTGCACTGCAGGGGTCAAAATAGTACCGGAAGCGTTGTTGACAGCGATAGGAACACATGATGGAAGCATAAGACGTGCCAGGAGCGATATTAAACAAGCCATTTGAGGCGACAAAGGTGCCGGAGTTGAGAAGTTGGTTAAAATGAAGGATGCCCACACATCAGGCAAAAAAGAAGAGCTGTTAAAAGGTATGTTACACGATATTTTCTTAAATACAAGACCAAATACAAAACCCTAATGTGGTTATTATGTAATTATGTTCACCTGAGTCATTTATTGGGGAGATAAAATTGTCACCTGGTTCAGGCAATTATCTGATACAATCTCTGAGGTGGGCTAGTGCACTGTACAGGTAATTAGTACAAGCTCACTGTCAATATCAGTGCATCTATCATTTGTTTCTTCTTCATTATATTTCTGTTGTGTATCCAGGTAGATTTCGGTTAAAAAATATGACTAGGCATGTCAGTTTGCTGTTTTGTCATCAGTCTAATATGTATGTATGTAAATTAATCACTGTTATAGATGTGTTGATGATGACTTTAATAATTATTTTCATGACTATTAAATTTTTTACTTGTTTTATAGGTGTAAACTGTACAGTGAGGATAGAGAGAGAAACAAAATATTGGATCCAAACGGCAGAGAAAATTAGAAGTAGGCCTACCAGATTGAAGTTTGAATCAAGACAGTGGAGAATGGACCAAGTCCTTGAAGGGAATGCCCAAACTGTTTTTTTTTTAATATTTGCCTATTAATAAATACAATTCAATATTTCGTCTCACAATTTTATTTTGGATAATAAAATCAATGATGTTGCCTTGGAAAGATATTTCCAAGGTACCTTACGATATTTCACTGATCCATGTTTTAAAATGCAATGTTTTAAACATTTTCTAGATATGTTCAAGTGCATTGTGATAATAAAAATGAGATATTTGGTAAAATTGTTCTCTTTTTTGTTATTTGTTATTAAGTTTTACTCGGGTCTAAGCAATGGCGATAACAATACTCTAAAACCAAAGTAAAACTAAAACCAGCTTTAATCTTGCTGAGAAATCAAACCAAAGTTTCACATGACAGTTTTCATGCCATTTTTTTATACTGAGGTAATGTCAGGGTATAAAAAGTCATGAAAATTTTTAATTCCTCGTAGATTTCAAGACCGATGTAAAATTTAACCATTTCAGGTTTGTTGTGCATAGACTTTATGCTGAAAGTGTGTTTGTCAACTTCCTCATATGATTCGGACAGTTGTTCCAGCATTTTTTCTCTGTCACACTATTTCTTTATGCATCTTTATCTTTTATTTTTATTTATTTATTTATTTATTTATTTATTTTTTGTTGCTCGTTGTAATTCCACTCTTGTTTCCGAAAGTTCACTTTCTAAAGATCGGATTTTCTGTTCCATACTGAAAATATGTTGTTAAAACAGTCGTTAAAAGCGCATCAGAACCTGCATCTGATACAATGCAGTAGGCATTGTGGTCTGTATTTGAGAAGCCATTTTCGTCCTCGCTGTTCAACTTCCCACTTGCCGCCAGGTTCACTAAAATTTGTCTCAGAGTTATCAACAGTTAAATGTCTAATAAATTTTCTTCGGGGCTTACAAATCTTCGATTCCTTGAGTGGAAATATAGTTGGTCTACCACCCAAATACGATTTATTCCCTCCTTCAAAATGAGCACTACACACACGGTGATGCTTGGCGGGCTCGAACTTACTAAATTTGC